TTAAATATATAACTTTTTTAAAATTGAAAGATTCAGGTTTATTTAATTGATTTAGTACAGATTAAATTTTGTATTTTGTCATTTAAAATGACATTTGTTAAATTTTCAATTTAAAGTTCTTTCGACTATTCTCTTAACAAATAAAATAATATAAAATGATTAATACTTCTTACAAATTATTTTTGACAAGGAACTATTTTTAGGTAAATGAATTTTATTATTGTGTGCTAAAATTTTTTAGTTCGTTTGAAAAATTCTCGAGATATGGTCATTTATTTCGAGAGTCAAGAATTCGAATCAAGTGGGAAAAAAAGGTATGCTTTTTTTAGAAAAAGTACGTGTCTGTTTTTCTAATTTAAAGTATTTTGAGACTTAGTAAATAAAAGTTCAAACTTTCGATCATAAGTTATTCAAAGTGTTTGCTTTTTTGCACATACACACAAACATAAGTTATTTTTTTAATATTAATTGAAAAGTTTTAAATTGATTATATTATTTAAAAAAAAATTTTTTTGATTTAATTTGAATAAATATTTTTTTTTACAAGAAAAATTTGATTTTATATTTTGAATTAACACGTGACTTAGTACTAGATATACTTTTTATTGTTAGAGGGGAGGGGGCACCAAAATATTTTCAGTGCTTAGGGCCTCAAGAGGTCTTAATCCGGCCCTGATCAAAGGCAGATATTATTAGATAATTGTAATATTGACTGGTCCAAAATCAATTCCAAAATTGGCTGACTACTCTGTCTAACAGATCTGTTCTTTGGTCTGAACATTATTAGGGAATATAATTTGTATTAGTAAAATAAAACTGTAATGAAATTTATTATGATTCAACGTGTTAAAATTAGCTTTATTCCCTGTAACAAAGTTTTTCATGGTGATTCATATTTTTGTTTTTAATTGATATTCCAATGAGAGCATATTCATTTTTGGCTCTTATGCCAATTAGTCTCGACTAACCAACCATTCATTAAGGATGCTCTGATGATGGTATATGCAGTAACTTACCAATTTGTTTTTTTTTTCTCCCCAAGATTTCATTTTTTTTTACGTTAAAGCTGATTCCTTAAGACATTCATTCTGTTATTAAAATACAAATTTTTTCTTAGAGGATAATAAGCAAATTTCTGAATAATCGTTTTATATATTTCCAGGGCAGAAGATTTAGGCAAAGGATTGATTAAATTGTTAGAAGATGGCAAAAATGGATCTGTTGTACAAATAGATGAAAATGGATTCAATTACGTCTAAAGACTGCAGATATTTTGTATTCTTTTTACAATAAAAATAATGTACACGTAAAATGTTTTAATATTCAGCCTATTAAGCCCAATAAATGTTTCTGCAATACAAAAATAATAGTTTTGTCAAAGAGTTACAGCAAGATCTTAGAATGAAGGCCCTCTTCCTACACCCATCAAATCGAACAACGAAACGATTATATTCAAACTCGAGCACTGCGAGCTCGGATTAAACGAGACTCCATGTTTAAAGAAAGAAATTATAAAAAATGGTTAGTTTAATGTTAAAATAGTCCAGCTTCTTAATAAAGCTTGTGTAGCTTTTGGCTCGGCAACAGTCTTTAATTTACTAATAAGTTTCAAAGTATTTCGTACATTTCCAGTTGAAACTGTTTATGTTGTTTGTCTTAAATTACTGTTAAATGACCATTATGTCCTTTAAATCACGTCTTCTACAGCTAGAACTGTAGGTTAGCGGTCACCAACCACCAACGAGTGATCGTTACTTTAAAAAAAAAGGTTCTAAATTATCAAACCTCACCCTAATAAAGGGCCATCATCTGGCCTCTTATAAAAGAATAAAATATACGAGCATTTTACTCCGATTTTCGATTTGAATGCGCATCCAGTTTGGATAGTTCTTCTGCCAACCTTTCCATTCTAAAATTCTAAATTACCTCTTTCCATTCTAAAATTTCGATGCATTTGAAACGACAATACGACACGCGAAAACTTAATCGCACCTTTTAAGTAATCTCTTTTTAATACTCGATTTGCGACGATTTTACCACTTTTTTCAAGCCTTATTACTACACATTTCCATTGAGTTTTTATTTTCTTTTATTTCAAATACGATATTACGATACGCGAATGATTACCGAATCACGTCTTTAAATAATCATTTTTGATGAATTCGATTAGTAATGATTTCATCACCAATTTTTCAAATTATGGTTGCTTACTGCTTCACTTTTCATTGTTACAGATTTCCACATAGTTTGTGAAATCCCAATATTTTTAATACGGTAATATTAATCACGTTTTTAAATAACTTTTAATTTGATGGACTCTATTTGCAACGATTCCAATGGAATTTTACATAGTGTTAATAAATCGCTTTTTCTGGAATTACGGATTTATATTCAGAAAACAGGATTTTCTCTTGCTTTTTAAAAATACTAAAATTTTTAAAACAATTTTAACACAACACCGAAATTATAAAATGCACATTTGAGTTATAAATTTTTGATGCAGTCGATTCGCGACAATTCCATTGAAAGGTGTTGTCAATCACTTTTCATGAACAATGATTTAAATAAAAAAGCTGATTGAAATCAAAACGATTGTTGTTTAGTGATGAACTGGAAGATGTCAAATAAACCACTATTGCACTGAAACATCCTTCTTTAATAGAAAAAGATAGCAATCCCTCAATAAACAAACAAACTCCAGAAAAACGTTACTCGTAAAAAATATTTTAAAAGTAGTTATTAAAACAATTAAAAACTTAAACTGTCGAATGCAAGCATCTCTTTTTAAAGGTCGGCGTCACCGGGGAAAGCGAAGTATCAAGATGAATTCTCGGACGCTGCAGCAACGTGATGGTTGGCTCGGAGGTTGGTCTGGGTGCCTAAGGCCGAGATGGCCCTTTACCCCTTCATCATGAGATGAAGATCGATGCGGTGAAAGCCTGTGGCCAATAGTATAAAGCTAGGGATGAGGTGGGGAGAAAAAATGGCTCATTGCCATGGTGAGGAATAGCTGTGAGGTGACTTGAAACGAGTTGAGAGTAATCAACAAAGAAGAAGTCCACTGTGCTTTGCTTGAAAAAAACGTCTTGCTGTTTTTAAGATTATCTCGATTAGATAATTGGCATCACCAGCCTCCGCTAGTAACTAAACTCGAAGGACAGTAGAGCTTAGTAAAATTAGACCCCTAATTGCAAAACATGCTTCGATCAGTCGGTTTCAAACGCAAATGGCCGCCATTACAGTTTGATCGGACAGGTCCTAGATGCTACTAACGAAAGATCAATGCAATTATTGCGTTCGTTGATCTACTAAATAATTTACTACTGCCGCTTACACGGTGTTTTCACGTTGACTGGATCTGGAAACTCTTTCATCTTGATGTTCTGTCTTTAAAACACTGATCAGTGATCGACGTCGCGGAAGTACTGCAGTCATTAGGCCTGCATCAGATGCTCACGAAGGGCAGGAGGAATCATCGTCGAGGCTAACGGGTGCAACTTGATGGAAAAATTTCCACTCCATAAATATCGGACATCAGACTGCTCACTCTTAGCCGCGGTTGTCGGTTGTGTTCATCTGCAGGCATCCTTCCGCGAAGGATCTATTTTGTTTGGTCTTCTTACCTTCGGCATTTGACCTAAACCTCGATCCTTCTACCTTGGAATTGCATGATTTCCTAGCTATCACAATTAAAATCATTTACGACGATTTTTTAAAAGAATTTATTAAATCAACAACCCTGATGCTGTGTGCACACTTATAAAAAAATGGCTACTATTTTTCATGTCTTTGATTTGCCAGTGGCTAATAATCTTAAATTGCTTGTCCAGAACTCTATCTCCGGCGGATCCCATATTTCTTTCGTAAATTTGGAGAGTGATGAATTCTTATCTTTTTTAGGTTTTATTCAGTTCTCCCAATTCAATCCCATTCAGTTTTAGCGTTTGTATTACGAAATGAAGACACATGGAACAGCTGATAAGAAAATGATATATATATATATTTTTTTTCTTTTCATGATAAAAATTTTAAGATAAAACTGTTGTTGATATAAATGTCATTCATCAAGATAACGATAACCACCGTAAGGCCTTAGAAGCCCAGTTCCACTACAATGAACGAACAAACGATAACCGAGCCACTTTTAGAAGTTTAACTAAGTTGCAAGCGAAAGATCTTTCTGAAAGCACATTATACATTTCATTATGTCCATGAAAGGAAAAGTAGCTCTTGTGACGGGTGGAGCACGAGGAATTGGAAGGGCTTATACTACTGCACTGCTCAACAATGGAGTAAAAGTAAATATTATTCTATACTTTAAATAAGAATTTTATTTACTGAAAAATATTGTTTTAGTTCTATTTGTTTATTTCAATCACAAGGGTATTATATTGATTCAAATCACAGAATCACGAGAATGTTTTATCCCCTATCGGTTCTCGTGCCGACTCCCACAATTGCATCAAAGTGATTTTTATGCCTTAACAATAAGTAAATTGCTACATCAAAATTAAAAAAAAAACATTATTCATTTAAAACACCCCCAAATTTTTTGTTTAACGAAAACTGAGTTCCACAAATTTAGTTTCCGAATGTGTTGGTTCAAAACTTAAAATCTAATTTATTTTTGTTACAATTGCTATTTCATTAACTAAATTCTTTAAAATAAGAATTTAATTTTTAGTTAATACAAAAAAAAAACTGCTTCCACTGAAAATAATTATTCTGCAATGAGGCGAAAAGTCAGTTCCTGATATTGCCTTACAATTTTGCATAATTTTTATTAGTTTAATAAAATTTATTAGTTTAATTTACGCATTGAATTGAAACAGTTTTTCATAAAAGTTATTGAAAATGTAAATATAACATCACCTTATAAATCTCTCGAAGGATTCTAATTAAGAACTAGGAGGAAAAAACTACATCTATTTGCAAATGTAATGATAAAAAAATATAATAACTGTATTTATTAGTCTGTATAATATTTACGAAACAATAATAAATAAAACAGAGCTGTGGTAGCTCAAAAGATAAAGCGTTCGACTCCCAATGAGGTGAACCGGGTTCGAATAGCAGCGATGGCTGGTCGATTCAAATTCAGCCCCCGGATCGCACCGACCACAGTGCTGATGTAAAATATGCCCCGTGGTAGATGGATCATGGTTTAGAGTCTGATTGTCGTCAAGCTAACCGTGGGAGGTTTTCGTGGATTTCCTCTCCATGTAACGCAAATGTTGGTTAGTTCCATCAAAAAGCCTTCCATGGAGGCAAAATTTCTCCCAATACTTAATCCAGGAGTTCTCTTGTCTTCTGAATCAGGTCCAAAATTATGGAATTGCACATCAGTAGTCGTAAACCCAAAATTGGCTCGGCTGTTCAACGGCTGTTATAAAATATTAAATTAAAATAAATAAAACAAATCATACTGTAATTGAACTCCTTATTTTTTTATTTCAAAGCATAAATTTTTAACAAGCCATATTAAAACGGTTATAAGAGTGACAACAAATAGGCTAAAATATATATTATATATAGTACTAGATAAATTTGCTACTTTTTAAGAAATGCACATCTTCATATTTCTTTGTGGGAACATCGCAATTTTTATTATTCTGATGTCGGCGTTGGTTTGAAATTTCAACTGGAGTGGTGGATTCGTTGCAGTCTTGGGATAGGTTGAAGGAGGAGTGGACGATTTCAAATAGGGTTGGAGTAGTTGCATACCCAGGTAAGATCGCTGGTTATTGTGACCGTTTCATGCTCCAAAGGAAAGACAAATTGATCGCGGAATTTCTTCTCTTATTTTTTTTTTACCTAGGCCAAAATAAATGTAAATAAATTCATGAACTGGCAGATATATAAAACTGGCAGGACATAACCACGTGGGTTCAGGTCCTCCCTGTATGCTCCAGGAAGAAGATATTAAAGTTTGTAAAAGCATCTTAGATTTGTTAAAAAAAAGGGCAGTAAAATTCAAAATAAGTTAAATTTAAAAGGCTTTTGGCAAAATTAATAATGATATAGATGAATACTAGATCTACAATCTGTGAGCACACAGGTGGGGGGAGAGAAAGAGAGAGATACAACAAAACGAAGGCAAACACCTTCGGAGAGAGAACTACGGGGAATACTGGTCCATCTCCAAAAGATAGCATCCCCTTCTTAGCGGTTGCGCAAAAACTCCAAATAAATAATGTATGCAACAAGCATATAACTGAAAGCAATAAAAATTTGCTAAAACGTGCTAGGAGCTGAGCCCTGCAGATCTCGCAAAGGTCAAAGAAAACAAAGAGGGCTCTTTAGTTGGGGACAGCCCAGTAGGTAAGAGGAACATCAAACATTGTGATGATCACATCACGCTATTTTTGTCAGATATATTTATTAACAAATTTATGTAGTTCCAACTATGGAAAACCATAAAGTATCCTTGGAAAGCGGCGTTCTCCTATCGTCGATCTATAGCACTAGTAAAGTTTTTCAAAATACATCATTAATTAAAATTAAATGATGAATTAAAATCAGACGTAGCTTGATATTTATTTGATGAGATATTTACCATGCAAAAAAATTATTTACGTTTAAAATTTGAATAAAGTCAATAAATTCGAAACATTAGTTTTTGTAATTTATTTCTATAATCAATCGACATATTTACACCGATTATGGGAATTACTTAGTCCCTGTTTCACTTTTCTAAAGAGTTCGGAAACAGGCAAAAACTTTTAAATTATTTTTCTGTTGACAACCAAACCTACAAAACATTTCTATTCCATTTTCTGAACGTAGTTTTTTTTTTTTTTTTTTTTTTTTTTTTTTTTTTTTTTTTTTNTTTTTTTTTTTTTAACAAGTGAATCAGAACAAGACAGGAGATGATTTTATCTTCTAAATTACAAATTCAGGTACTAGTTCTTTAATAAAATTAAAGCACACGATAAAAAAAATTTCAACTTTATCTTTTTGTTTTGCACGAGGCACATACAATTAATTAAAATACTTTCTCAAAAAAGAGAAAAAGATTTTATAAAGCTTAAAACTTACTTGGCAACTTTTTTTCCTTAAACGCGCCATCTGAATCTGAATACCACAGTTGGTTCTTACGCCTGTAATTCCAAACTAACTGAATATCACAGTACATAAAACAATTGAAATTCGCACGAAGATCCAGTACTACAGACTTCAAAATAATGCAAGGTGTTGCAATGATTTCAGTTAGGTATTTATAGTTGTATGCGTTGTATTTATTTGTCTAAAAATAACACAATCAATATACCTTAATTGGGTACTTGCACTTCAAGAGGAAGATCACTGATACACACGCACGTACCTATGACGTCAGGGTTATGTGTGTCAACTACATAAAGAGAGATCTGTATCAACTACAATAACTAGAGAGTGTTGTGTCTTAAACCATTTTTAACATTTTAAGTAGAATGTAATAACTCGAAAAACTTTTTTTTTTTTTAAATGCATTAGACGTTTGTCTATTAATATAAATGTTTTTGAACATATATTGTCATGCACTTCATAAAAAAATAAAAGTTAGAAAAACCGGTTCAAACTGTAATGTAGTGTTATTTTTTGGAGTATCATATATTGTACCTTGCCTCATAGGATGTTATACCTGGAGACTTGTTTTAGTTTTTTGGTTCTTCTTAAGTTCTCGATTTGAAAATTGATTATAAAGTAGGATATTCAGGCAATTAAAATTTATTTTCAATAAAGTTTTAAAGTAGTTTGAATTATCTAAAATAAATCATAAACAAAACACCTAATGTTTCGAAAATTAACAGATTCATTAAGAACAAAATTTTTTTTACATTTTGAATATCCATACGTGCTAACTGATATTTGATCTAGCAGACATTAAAAATCAATTGTTGCACATACCTAGAACCTCCTCAAGGTACAAATCTGACACTGGTTCAAGATACAAGAAGCATACATTTTACTGATTTTGTTAGGTTGGCAAAAATAAATTATTTCTCTTTTAAAAAAAGTAGTATTTTACCTTATAGAGTAAAACATTTTGGTACAAATCCATGTAATATTTCTCCTCAAATTTTAGCGCTTTATGAATTTATACTCTAATCAGTTATAAAAAAAATAACTCAGCAAATAGAAATCCAAAAAAGTTCTTTAGCTAAGGTTTAGAAACCCTAAAATGGTCCACAGCACAGCACATACTATCTGTTATTAAACTACTCTTCCGAATATTTAATTAACTAAATAGGGACCCAAATACTACACTGGTCCGAAGCACATATGGTCTAAGGTACAATATTCTCCTCTTCACTTTAAAACTAGTTGTATGACACACATTTACCCTATTATTTCTTAATCTATAGTTTCTTTTAAATATTCGTAGGTTTGCATTTGTGACGTTAATGAAATTACGGCATCAGAATTTATTGGAAGTCTCCCAGACAATCTAAAAAAGAATGCATTTTTCCAAAAATGTGATGTGACAGACCACAGGAATTTCAAAGGTATTAAACTAAATAAAATCTTTTCCACCATTAGGTGACTAAATAAAATCTTTTCCACCACTAAGAATTTTCCCCCTCTTTTACTTGAATATCTAACATCAGATGTGACCCCATTAGAATAAAAGCTATTGAAATAGCATAGTGACACAATATTGTCTGTTAGCTTAGCATTATATTGGTTGATGAGTTTTCACACAAGTTTCCATTCATTCTTAGTTTCATGGCTACAAATTTATTTCTTGTTCAAAAATTGATGAATTCAGAATACTCGAAAACAACACGTTTATCAACATCATTGCTGCTTAAACTTATTTCAATAATGCTGTTTTGTAGCTGAAAGACAAAGACTTTATTCTAAGGTCAATGAAGATTTTTAAAATGCTAAAAACTTTTTGTAGAAACCACAAGTTAGCAAAATCAAAATACTAAAAATTTATGTAGTACGGATCATAAATTTTAATCAAGCATTAGAATAATCTTTTTTTCCTAACTTTTATATAAAAAATTAGTCCCGTACACTAATTCAACCTATAAAAGCAGAAATCAATAATAATTTTAAAAAAAGTAATAATTATTATTTAACTGCTACCGTACAAGTTGTCTTATAATACTTAATTTTAACGTTTAGATCTCCCCTCTTGATTTTATTGTTCGAAAGCAATGAAACAATAAAACAATTCTTTATTTTTTTGCTACATTTTTCACACTTATATTAATATAATCAATTCGTACATTATTCTTAATATTGGAGTGCAGGCTTTGTGTGAACTATAATAATTTCATCGCAACTTCTTTAAAAGCTAAGAAAAATCTTTGTAATTGTCTATTTTATTTTAATTTGTTAGCCACTTTTACACAAATTATCTGCATTTTTGATTTCCTGAGCGAAAATGATTGCGTTTGACACAAGAAAGAACATAGAGAGAGAAAATATCTTCTTTCGTGCTTAATTTATCATACTATTTTTTCATTTTAAATAATAAATGTGCAACTTTATAATCTTTTTCTTCGTTTCAAAACAGATGCCTTTGATAAAACTATTGAAGTGTTTGGAAAAATTGACATTGTTGTTAATAATGCTGGAGTACAGGATGAGCATAACTGGAAGAAAACCATTGAAGTTAACTTGGTAAGTTGTTGCAGATTAAATTTTTGTAACGTACAGTGAACGAAAAGAAGAAAAAAACTGACTCTCTGATTAACTTGTGATCTAATGATCGGATCTTCACGTTCTAGGACTCATTTTTAAATGTTCATGGGGGTGACCCCAAATATACTAAGTATAATTAGTGTAGACAATATATCAAACTACGAAATCAGACCCAAAAACATGCTTTCTGTGAATACTTTCTCTCTTTCGATGGAATCGGACTTCTGAAATTTAGTACTAATAGTTTGATCATAAAAGCAGTCCAAAGTTGGAATCCTTTAAAGTTAATTTTACTTTTTGCGTATTTCACCATATCTCTGGAACTTTTTAAGCAAATTGAAAAACTTTTGACCACAATTGTAAAATTCGTTTATCCAATGATAATTCCATGTAAAAAATAAATTTTACCACATATTGATTATTTTTTAATATTTCATTAAATAGTAGACGAAAAAATTTTGAGCTGGAAGGTTCACAATTTTAACATCATTTTAAAGTATCTAATTTTTCATGCAGAGTATACAATTTGAGCAAAATCGGTTGAATAGTTCCTGAGAAATCAAATGTTTAATAAGTCACATATTTAAAACTTGGTTTTTCAGGAACTATACAACCAATTTTGCTTAAAAGTTGTACTTTGCCATCCAAATTTACATTCTTTAAAAAGATGAAATATATATATATATATATATATATTAACGAAGTGTTNTGTATATATATATATATATATATATATAATTTTTTCTCTTACTTCACATACCTTTTCTGTTTTCGTGATAGTAACAATAGAAAATTTAGTATGCAATTTAAGTGTCATAGAAAGTTACTTGAAAATAATATTACGTAAATATAACACTAGACTATAGTTCAACAATTAGCCTTTGTTATTTTAGATGGCAGTTATTCAAGGTGTCAAACTTGCTTTCCAGTATATGGGAGTGGACAATGGTGGAAAAGGTGGCTCTGTGGTTAACACAGCGTCCGTTGCAGGTATCGATAATTAACATCATCTTCCTTAGTAAGAAAAGTAAAGTTATATTAGCTTGTGTACTCTCTTTTGATTGTATCTTAATAGGCATGTATTGTCTATTTTTTAAAGCGTATAATAATTATCATCCAAATAATTATGAAAAAATCCTAAAAATGACTTCTTGTTTAAACTATGGAAATAACAAATATGTTTTAGAAGGAATATTCAAACAACTTAATGCATTCAATAACAATCAAACAACCGTTACTGTATTAATATCAAGAAATTCAATCATTTGAATCATTATTTTCCTCTGTGAACTTTTCTCAACCTTGGTATCTCAACGTAACTAATTTTCATAAAGTCTCTTTTCCATTCCAACAGGTCTCTGAGATACACTCTAATTCTTCTTCCTGTTTTTCGTACCCTATAGAGTTTAAGTTCAGCACATTATAGCCAAAGAATATAGAAAAGAGAAGTTCAGGTCTTAGAATACGCAACTAACTTCGGGAACTGATCGGTTCGGTATGTTATTCCAGTAAAACAACTTACAGGGGGAGCAACATACTCAGATTTAACAGAGCATGATATGTACTAAGATCCAGTGCATAAGAAAAGTGACTGTCAGGAGTTAAGTCACCTGTGAACAGGTTGTTTGGTAACTCTACATGTATGGTTGGGTACGCTATCACTCAGACCACACCTCCATTTTATTCTTTCTTTTTTTTGTCAAAATGTGTAAGCAGATTTAATCGACATGAATGATATTAATGTATTCTCAAAAAAATATATTTATTAACGGTTTATCAATAGTGTAAAATACAGAACAAACGAATAATAAATAAAAAGAGAAAACTTTTCCTCTTCTTCCGAACCTCAGTAGTGGTTTGGAGGAGAGTGGAAACCAGTTTTAAGAACTTCTGCTGCGTGCCCCTAAATGTTGTTTCTTCCTTTATACAGAAGGACCACAACAAACCTTTGAGGGTTAGTTTACATTATGCCTACGGAAGCTAACCTTCTTTCCCCATGTATGTTCTTCATTATAGCAGCTCCTTGCCATTAATAGCTGCAACTCATAAAGATAACCAACTTTTGGAAACCATCCCAATATCAATATATTAACACCAATTAACCAAGTTTTCTACAAATATAAATATTCCAGAGTCTACATCATATGAAACAAAGTTTGACCTGTTCTTCATATATTTACTGGAATTACGGTACACTTATTTGAAGTTAATGTTTTTTAATACATAATAAAAAAAAAAAAGCAATTATAATAAAAGAAACTTTTTGGGACGGTTCTGCTCAACTCTGGGCTGTCGAGCAGAGAAAAAGAATTTTAAAATCATTAACATCTATATCGCAGAAAGCTTTATTATTTGTTTATTTTAATGTGTTTTTACTTATTTCAAAGTGTATTTACTGATTTTCTGAATTTATTGCATTTCTTAAAAAAGTATCTTTTTTTAAAGCAGGAATAAAGTGAAATATATTTGAAACTTTCTTAAAATCTTATGTTTCGAGATTTCTTCTAAAAAGAAATAAAATATGTAAATGTCAATACATGAATGTATTGACATTTTTTTTAGGTTTGGTGGAAGTTCCAATTTCTCCTGTATACTGTGCTACTAAACATGCCGTTGTTGGGTTGACTAAAAGCTACGGAGTAAGAATTTCATTCTTAATAAATACATAAGTCTGTGTGACATACCGTGAATATTGGAAATCTAGAAAATGTCGACTTTTACCGGTGAATGTCAACAATCATATAGTCTCTTTGGTGAACGTCCAAAATATTTGTTATATCCGATTTGATATTAATTTATTCATTGATATTATTATATTTATTCGATATTTTAATATCAGCTGAAGATAGATTAGGAAAAAAATAGTTCGGAGTACTGGTTAAATGTATACCGGGGCAGTGGCATTGAACCTAAAAATAAATACATAAGTGAAGGGTATACCTGGCAAATGTATACCGCACTTAATTAGACCTAGTATATATTTCGGATATTTACCAAAGCGATTATGTGATTGTCAACAACCACCAATTTCGGCCATTCACAATAACATAGATATTTGTTCTCAAATTAAAAGTAACCTTTTTACTTCCCCAGCATTTTTCCAAACATGCAAAAACAAGAAAACGAGTTCTTTTCCTCCAAATAACTTGAGGCTGAGATATTTTATATTGGTAATCGGTTTAAGATGTTTCTTTTCTCACCATCTTGGATTTTAGATAAAATATTTGATTTGTGTTTTCCTGACATTTTTGTATTTTGACATTTATTATATTTATTCGATATTTTAATAACTGCTGAGGATAGATTAGGAGAAAAATAGTTCGGAGTATTTGGCAAATATATACCGGGGCAGTGGCACTGAACCTTAAAAAGCATTAGTGTAGGGTATACCTGGCAAATGTATACCGCACTTAACTAGACCTAGTATATATTTCGGACATTAACCACAGCGACTATAATATTGTCAACAACCCCCAATTTCGGTCATTCACAGTAACATAGATATTTGTTCTCAAATTAAAAGTAACCATTTTACTTCACGAGCATTTTTCCAAACATGCAAAAACATGAACAACTTCTTTTCCTCCAAATAACTTGTATATTTGAGGCTACGATATTTCATACTGGTAATTGGCTTAAGATGTTTCTTTTCTCACCTTCTTGGACTTTAGATAAAATTTTTGATTTGTGTTTCCCTGACGTTTTTATTTTCTTAATAATCACTCACAGTGAGCCGTGATGGCTCAGGGAATAGAGAGTTCACCTTCCAATGAAGTAAACCAGATTCGAATCCCAACAATGGCTGGTCGATACAAATCCCGCACCCGGCTCGCACCGACTACAGTGCTCACGTAAAATATCCTCAGTGGTAAATGGATCATGATTTAGTATCCCCTTGACATCGGGATAACCATGGGAGGTTTTCCTCTCTAAGTAACGCAAATGCTGGTTGGTTCCATCAAAAAGAGTCCTCCGTGTAGGCAAATTTCTCCCAATACTCTATCCAGGAGTTCCCTTGTCTTCTGGATTGGGTTCAAAATTACAAGGCTGCGGAGATGAACATTGGATGACATAAACCCAAAATTGGATCGGATGTTCAAGGATGGTTAAAATAAAAACAAACTCTCAGAGAACCATAGGTAGAGTACATTTCAACAGCTCAATACCTTTCAAAAAAGGCGGAAGATGTTGCTTGATTAAGAAAAATATAAAGAAACTAAGCTAGGACTAATTCCATTCTTACAGGCAGAATACCACCTAAAGAAAAGTGGGATAAAAGTGAATGCCATTTGTCCAGGTGCTGTAAATACATATCTTTATCAAACTTTTGCTCCTAGTTGTCTAGATGAAGAAGAGGGGAAAAAATTTGCCGAAGCATTCCCATTAGTTCCGTAAGTATATTTTTTTATAATTTTTTATAATTCTTATAATATTACTTAATAAAATTAAATTATTCATAAAAAATAGTTACATCTAACATAATGTTTTAACAACTGCATTTGATTTTTAATATTTATGCATTGAACGATTTTAAGGGATCAAATGTTTTCATCTAATAATGAAATGACTAACTTCGATGCACTTTTTTATGAAAATACTTATTAGATATTCAAAAACTTCACTTACAATTTTGTCTAGTATTTTCTGAAAAAAAAACGTACGTCAAAGTTGAACATTTTAAAGCACGCTCAAATAAAACATTTAACATTGAATAAATTTTAATTTTAATACAGTTTTATATTGATGTTCAAATTAACATGCAGTTGCAAAAAGATTAAGTTGAATAGCTGTAAAAAATTGTAATTTTAATGATTAAATAAATCAGTTGCAGAAGAAAAAAAATTGAATCTGCCTATATATAGACTTAAATCACTTACAGCGGGCTTGAGAAGTTTACTTTTATTAGAGTAAATATCGAAAATATTATAGAAATATAATTTATGCAAACTCCATGATATTTTACTTAATTTATTTAAAACTTATATAGTAAATTTAATAAATATAAATAATGGAAACGTGAATACTTGCATCAATTTAAATATATACAACGTGGAGAGCAGTTGAATAATAAAAATAAGGAAAAAGTATTAAAGAGATGAAAATTAAACAAATGTGTATCTTTTGATATTTAATAAAAAAGTCATTAGTTGAAATTAAGGGAGAATTATGCAGAGGAGGATGTTCACAATGTAAAGAAAGTGATAATGATGCTTCACAGAAAACTCTATTTAAATTTCTTGACAATTGCTAAGATACAACTAATTTATGCAAAGTACTTTTTTTGACAGCCAACCAATAACGTTAAAATCAAGTGTAGAGGGCGTGGTACAGGAGTACATAGCATCTGTATAAAAGGCAGTGCACACAATTTCTTCATTCATTCGACAATTCATAATGTTAGGTATTTGATCAAAATAGTATCATAGCTTGATGAATTTATTTCTGTGAAATAAAGTGCGGTGTTGAAATATTTAAGTGCAAAATATTAGCAAGATATCATTTGATTTCTTACGATGCTAAGAAAGCAATTAGACGACTTGAAGAAGGTTAAAATGTTACCCCTGAGGCCGCAGTATCGGGAGTGTCAAAAAGTATCATCTCGCAATTAAAAAAAACAACAACTGAAGGTCGAAATTCTATGCATGCCGGTGGTAGTGGTAGGAACATCAGACCTCAAGAGTATCCCCAGTAGCGAAAAGGAACAGAAATGTCACTCTTAGGCAGATAGCTGCAGACCTTGCAACCACTACCGGTACACATGTTTCTCCCAGAACCATCTCACAGCGACAAAATCAAGTTGGTTTGCATGCATGGAAAGCTTTTCGATGCTTCCCACTCTTACCACGTCTTCGTCGAGGAAAATTACGTTGGTGGAAGGAACATATTGGTTGGGGTAACTAGCAATAGCAAAGGTCCAGATGGATGTTCCCCGATGAATCCCGATTCACAATAAAAAGTGATTCTGGCAACAAGTGATAGTGTGAAGAGAAAGGGGAACTTGGGCAGGCCTCAAGCTCCCTGGCTGAACACCGCTTCACATCGTTGAGTGAGGTAACGTAACACCGCAGCGGTATTGCAGAGAGATTATTCTGGATCAAGTTTGCCTTTTTAGGGATCATACTTTCTGTTTTCTGGATGACAATGCTCTGAGGTATTGGGCACACTAGAAAGTAAAACTATTGTCCATACGCAATGGTCTGTAGACTCGTCGGACCAAAATCCTATAGAGTATGCTTAGGTTGCCCTTGGCAGACGTGTTTCACAACGAACACAACCTTTACAAACCGTTTAAGAGCTGAAAACCACCTTGAGAAAGGAGAGGAACAGAATTCCCATAAGGACTCTTCAATATAGTTAAGTGGACAGCATAAATAACTGATACAACACATGTATTAGTATCCGATATAATCACTCACCTTACTGAAGTACCGTCATTCGGGGCTACTTTGTGCAGCGGGGGCTACTTTGTGCAAATTCGAATTTGGCATTTTTCAAGTGCTGCTATTCAGTATTATGTTTATTTCACGTTAAAAATGTGTGGAATTTGAAGATAGAAGTCTCTTCTATTACTACAAACATTTTTTCGAATTTTAAAACAATTTCAGAGTGTGTTTCGTTCATCCAATGTCAACAACTTTCCGAGGACGTCGGATGTCGAAAAGTGTGCGTGGAAACTTTAGCTGTGAAATGCAAAGACGTTGATAAAACAATTGTCGTAAGTGCAAAATTTTTTATTTATATATTAATAAACAATTATATCATGTTAGCGTTAAAAAAATTTGAAAATTAATAACAAATAAACGGAAAATGAAAAAAAATGCACTTTGGGGCTACTTTGTGCAAAGTTTCATTCGTTTTTTTTTTCGACAGAAAAATGGTCAGACGTTATAAAAAAATACCTGGAACGAGAAACTACCGTGATTACACTTTAGAAAAGCTGCAACAATGTTTGCAAGCAGTTGCTGGTGGTATGTCGATTGCAGAAGCTTCTCGGAAGTACAAAATCCACAGAAATACTATCTCTAATAAAATTCACAAGAAACACGTGAAACGTGCTGGTAAACTATTATTTTTCTTCTACAAAGATTTTTCTAATGAATTAATCAAACGATTTAACACATAAAAATATATTTTATAGGACATCAGGTGATTTTGACAGAAACTGAAGAGCAAGTTCTGACATGTTCATTGAAGGATGTTATGTTCAAATGTATCAATATTATAAATGTTAATGAATATGTAATAATTATAATTTTTGAAATATCATCCATTTCAATGTTAAAAAAAGTATATGGCTTCCTTTTGTTTAAACTCAAATCTTTTGAAATAAACATTCTTTTAAAGAAAAAATTCTTCAAAAAAAATTTTTTTTAGCGCTGAAAATTATTTTCAAACTAATATCTTTACATATCTTGATGTTTTTTGTCTTTAAAAATGTCAAAAATTAACTTTTTTAACAATTTTATATCAATATTTTACTAAAAACATGATTATTAAACTGAATTCCTATCGCTGCACAAAGTAGCCCCATTTGGGGGCTACTTTGTGCAAGGTATGTTTTGACTTATTATTCGTAAATATTACATACAAATAATGCCAATATTGATCAAATTTACTCGTCTGAGTCCAGTTATGAATATAATATCGATAAATTTTACTAAAATTTGACTTAACATAGTTTTTTTACATGTCAAAGTTCAAAAACTGCGAAATCCTGCACAAAGTAGCCCCAAATGACGGTACTCATTTTTGTTTCATTCTGGCAAAAGGACCAATTTTTCATGCCTGTTAGGAAATCGTCTCATGAGCATCTTTTTCATCTTAAGTTTTGTTATTTTCTGGTATGTCAATAACCGAACTATTTTGCATAATAATAAATGAGCATTTTCTCTACTAAATAATTACTTAGTTTCATTTCATCAATCAACATCTAATTTTTAATTATTCCAAGAAATGCAACTGTTCCTTAGCAAATTGTCGAGCAATGTACTAAATTTAGTGTATTAAATTAGTATTAAATTTATATGTTATTTCCAAGGTATCACCTATATAGTTGGTAAAATTATGAAGGTGAACTTGGTGAATGATTTATGATTATGGTTAAGCTTCAAACTTAAAGAAAAAAAGCCTGAAAATATAACTTAAATTTTTTTTTATTTATTTGAAATGATTATCATAGTAAAACTGATAAAAGCATCGTGGAAAAACATAATTTTTATCTATTTTTTATTTATTTTTTTTATTTTCAGTTTTGAAGATCTGGGAAAGGGCTTGATTCAAATATTAGAAGATGGTAAAAATGGATCTTTACTGGTAGTAGATGATAAAGGACCACATTATGTATAAAATACTTTCATATCATCACTAAAAAAATAAAGATTTAACGTAGAAACTTTTTTTTCTGAAGATCAGAATTCCATCAAAATACAAATAAGTTCAGAAAACTCATTTATTATAAAAGCATATGAATCAAGGCAACCCATTCGTTAATTTAGGGGGCTTGTGAAAACTTGGTTAACCGAAATAATCAACACTAAAATGTATAAAGTATGAAAATAAAAAATTTAAATATGACACTAAGGAAACACTAAAGAAATACAGGAAAAAATTTGTTTACAATTTAAATTGGGGCATTTCTTAAGTAACTATTGCCCCATACCATAGAAAGCCATATCTTTGAAGAACAGTTTTGTAGGAAATAATGAAAATATTTCTTTGCCTGCATCAAAATAAGGATGAAGATAAATATAAATTTCAATATAATTAATCACTGCAGTGCATTTAAAATGTTTTGATGTCATTAAAAGGCGTATATTTTAAATTGCTTTTGAAACGCCAAGAAAAAGCATTTAGAAAGAAGTTGGAGTTAAAGCCCTGGAATTGCTTGTCGTTTGTTAGTTTTTGTACCAGTTACATCTGTTTTCCATCTATAAGCTATAGAAGGTTTTACTAATTATCTGAGTCATTGCAAAACAAATGAGAGAATGATTTTAAGATAGTCTTTTAGCATTTTACTGAAAAATTCAACTCTAGCTTTTAAACGTTTTGAAAGAGAATGAAGTATCATTGAACAGTCAGAATTTCTTTTTACAGTTAAAATAAAATAATTTCCAAAAATATTCTTTGTTAAATCTAAGTTATGCTAATAAACTAAGTTTCATGTAAGCTTTTTAACATTAAACCAACCATTTTGTAAGCATTTTTGCTTTACATTCGGGATAAGGATTTTAAATGCATATATAACAATAAGTTTAAATGTATTCAAAGCTTTCGAAATGTATATTTAATGTAACGTTTTATGCTTATAACAACGCAGTTTTACATAGGCTTTTTAACATTAAACAAACCATGGTGCAAAAATATTTGCATTAAATTGTGCATCACCTTTGGTTCTTATGAAAATATGGCTCACTGTAAAAGTTTTGAAAACTTAAAAAATCTCATTTATTATTTTTATTACCTTTTTATTGTCCAGCATATCGTAGAAGTTCATCAAAAATACTAAGCAGTTTCATGGTTGTGTTTCCTACTTAATGCAAAAAGCAGCTGCAGTTCTTAATGCAAAAGGTTACGAAATTTACACATAGCTGCATACATTTCACTTAAGATAAAGGCAGGATGAAAAAACATTTTTTTACAAAGCAAAATGCTTCCATAATAAAATGGTAGTTAATGGAGGTTGGTCATTCTTAGAGGTTACCGTTAAATTTAAAATGGGATTTTTTCAAACGATTTTAATTTTAGCAAGTGTGATTTCCTTGGTGTGGAAATGCCACTTGTGCTGGCCTCATGAAAACCGGATCTATGAATAAAATTTATCGTCAATAGAAATGATCCTTACTCATATAATTATGTGCAAAAACAAATTTACCATTTATAAATTATAGAACTATTTTTTTCTTCTAAAATAGCTTTTTTTTTCTAATTAACTTTCAGCTCTAAAAATAAATCAATAAAAGCATCGTCTTTAGTGCACTTTGACTGTAACATGAGGTTGTAGATCTTTTTCAGGGATTGTCAAAAAGAGCTTTCTAAATAGGAATATTTAGAATACATTTCAATCTACTTACTTGTTTAGTTAATATTTTTTGTTTTAATATTTTTTCGTGTTTCTTTATTTTACCTTTTCCGTATTTGGTGCAGAGGTTTTAATGGTCTCTCCTAAAGGTTTCCATCAACAGAAAGTCTATAGAAAAAATTTCGTGCTTCCTAAATGTGGTCGTAAATAGAGGAAATCACTTCATAGAGGTGATCTTTCCTGGAGGTTTCAAAAAGCAATTTAAAGCTTATTATTACATCGTGGGCTTCAGTTTAATTTGTGATTTTCATCATTATAGACATTATTAACTGCGTTCAAAGAGTTTTTTTCTCAATAGTTCAAATCCTTTGTGTTTTTAATAATTAACAACTGCTACCTGGTATTTCATAATAACCAATCGCTAAAACTTAATGAACAAATACTTAAATTAAAAATGAAATCTTAATTAAAATTCGAAATGCAAATATTAAAAATTGAAAAATATTTTTAAATTGCCGTTTAATTCTTAAAATATTAAATTAAATTAAATTGTGTTTTTCAATTAGAATATAAAACATGTAATAAATATTAAATCAATAAATTCACTTAAACAGCATTAATATTTTTGCAAAAGTTTTAAATTTTTTTTATATACTATAATCTTGTCTTTAATTGTATTATTTTATCGGTAATACAAAAATTAACTTTGCTTTTAATTCTGGCAAACAAAAACACCCAAATATTTAAATACTATTAAAAAAATTTATTTAAGATTTATAGCGAAAGATTTATTTAAGTTAAAAACAAAATTCGTAGGCTATTTTCATTTCTTTCAGATGAATATATTTAATGCAATTGAATTTGTTACAATTATATTTGTATTATAGAATATAAAAAAATTTTAAATCACATCCCTTACAGCTGGAGCTATAGATTAGCAGTCATCAGCCACGAACGCGTAATCATTACTGAAAGAAATAGCTACCAAAATATAAAACCCTATCCTAGTCGTAAATTGAAAGATACGATTTGCATGCCCTTCCTATTTGAATAATTGTTTCGTTAATCTTTTCAACAACTTTCCATTTTAAAATCTCGATACATATAAAACGATACGCAAAAATTAAATCGTATAATCACTTTTTTATACTCATTTCGAGACGATCTTATCACTTTTCTTCAGCGTTATTCCTACAAATTTCCGAATATTAAGAATACATTATTTTATTTTACGTTACAATATTAGAAAATCTTATTATGAGATTTATATTACAATATTAGAAAGTATACTCTTTTTTGCGGATATAATCGTGTGAGCTGATGAAGAGATTATATCTTATCATTATTTTGTTTTCCAGCTTTTTAATATTTTTTTTTAAATAAGAATTTTTTTAAATATTTTATTTTAATAATTTTTCGTCATCTCTTTTCATTAATCTTTATTATTATTCATGTTTTCTCCATATTTCAAACTTATTTTATGAGTTCTATATACTTGCAGCTTATGCACAGTAAATAAAACTTATTAATTTTATCTTTTCCTTCTTTCTTATATATATATATAAGAAACGCAACTGTTCCTTAGCAAATTGTCGAGCAATGTACTAAATTTAGTGTATTAAATTAGTATTAAATTTATATGTTATTTCCAAGGTATCACCTATATAGTTGGTAAAATTATGAAGGTGAACTTGGTGAATGATTTATGATTATGGTTAAGCTTCAAACTTAAAGAAAAAAAGCCTGAAAATATAACTTAAATTTTTTTTTATTTATTTGAAATGATTATCATAGTAAAACTGATAAAAGCATCGTGGAAAAACATAATTTTTATCTATTTTTTATTTATTTTTTTTATTTTCAGTTTTGAAGATCTGGGAAAGGGCTTGATTCAAATATTAGAAGATGGTAAAAATGGATCTTTACTGGTAGTAGATGATAAAGGACCACATTATGTATAAAATACTTTCATATCATCACTAAAAAAATAAAGATTTAACGTAGAAACTTTTTTTTCTGAAGATCAGAATTCCATCAAAATACAAATAAGTTCAGAAAACTCATTTATTATAAAAGCATATGAATCAAGGCAACCCATTCGTTAATTTAGGGGGCTTGTGAAAACTTGGTTAACCGAAATAATCAACACTAAAATGTATAAAGTATGAAAATAAAAAATTTAAATATGACACTAAGGAAACACTAAAGAAATACAGGAAAAAATTTGTTTACAATTTAAATTGGGGCATTTCTTAAGTAACTATTGCCCCATACCATAGAAAGCCATATCTTTGAAGAACAGTTTTGTAGGAAATAATGAAAATATTTCTTTGCCTGCATCAAAATAAGGATGAAGATAAATATAAATTTCAATATAATTAATCACTGCAGTGCATTTAAAATGTTTTGATGTCATTAAAAGGCGTATATTTTAAATTGCTTTTGAAACGCCAAGAAAAAGCATTTAGAAAGAAGTTGGAGTTAAAGCCCTGGAATTGCTTGTCGTTTGTTAGTTTTTGTACCAGTTACATCTGTTTTCCATCTATAAGCTATAGAAGGTTTTACTAATTATCTGAGTCATTGCAAAACAAATGAGAGAATGATTTTAAGATAGTCTTTTAGCATTTTACTGAAAAATTCAACTCTAGCTTTTAAACGTTTTGAAAGAGAATGAAGTATCATTGAACAGTCAGAATTTCTTTTTACAGTTAAAATAAAATAATTTCCAAAAATATTCTTTGTTAAATCTAAGTTATGCTAATAAACTAAGTTTCATGTAAGCTTTTTAACATTAAACCAACCATTTTGTAAGCATTTTTGCTTTACATTCGGGATAAGGATTTTAAATGCATATATAACAANGTTTTCTCTTTTGAAATTACATTATGACGCATTCACATACATTATTAATACAAATACATTTTCCATGGCGAGACGATGAGGCAATCACAAGCACTTCCACTGGTTCAAGAGGTCCACGAGGGAAAAATGCACAATATCACCATTATTACAGAGAACGGAAGCGAGCGGAGCAGAAAAAAGAGTCGTTGAATAGAACTAGTGATCCTTCTACGACTACTGATTCTTCTACTATTAACGTCGCAGGTTACGAAGTTTAACTTCTTCCGCGCGGAGGGACTCCACGCACTATTTTATTTATTTATTTTTTTTTTTTTGTCTTTTTGGTCACAATTGCAAATTCATGAGCAAAATTCTTTTAAATAAAAATTTAATGTTTAGTTAAAACAAAAAAATTACTTCTAATGAAGATATTAATCTGCAATAGTTCAGTTCCTGATATTGTCACACAATTTTACATAATTCTTATTAGTTAAAATACATAATGGGACCAGTTTTTCTTAAGAAAATTTTCATGAATGTTAACGTAACATCATCTTATGAATCTCTGGTTAGTTCCATCAAAAAGACCTCCACGAAAAAAAATTTCTCCCAATACTTGATCCAGGAATTCCCATTGTCTTCCAGATTTGGTTGAAAATAACAAGGCTACGGAGTTAAACATTAGTATACATAAATCCGAAATAAGATTGGCTGTTCAACGACGATTATAAAATTATATGTGTTGTATTTATTTGGATAATAACGACACAAAGCACGATGCTTTAAAAATTAACTTTTGATTAAGAAAAATATTATTCATCTAGATCTGGTACATCAATTATAGAGATGGGAGTGTCATATATCTTAGACCAATTTTGATTTTTTAAGTTGAATGTAGTACTAATTCAAATAAATGACAAATTTTGTGAGAATACATTATATGTTTGTCTGTTAATGTAATTTTTTTTGAATGAATATAGTCATACACTTAAAAAAATAAAGAATGAATTCAAACAGCTTCATGGTTCATCATATGTTGTACCTTGCATCATAAGATGTTAGATCGTTAAAACACTAATTTTGAGTACTCATCTGTTGGACTTAGAATTCACGAATATGAATATTCATACAATTAAAACTTAATTTTAATAATATTTTCAAACAGTCTGCATTAACTAAAACAAATCAAATCATAAACATAATACCAAATTATATTTCGAAAATTAATATATTTATTAGCAATTTTTACATTTTAAATATCAGTAAAACGTTCTCATTTGTACTCGCTGAGGTTCAAAGGTGATTGTCGCACATACCTTTGGGACCGTCCCAAAATACAATTCTTACACTTGTTAAATATACAAGACAATCACACACTTTTCCGATTTTGTGTAGACCGAGGAAAAATAATTTATTTTTCTTTAAAAAAAAATAGTATTTCTCCTAATAGAGTAAGTAAGACATTTTTCTACAAATGTAAGTGCTTCATCCTCTAATCAATTTGAATAGAAAAATATTACTCAGCAACTGAAAAATTCAAAACAGTTCTGTACAGGCTTAGAAAGCTCAAAATGGCCCACAACACAATATATAGTACCTGTAGTAAAGTAGTACTCATATCGATCACTTAAAACTAGGGAGCACAAACACTAGATTGGTCCGAAGTACATACGGCTTAAGGTACAATATTCTTTCCTTCACTTTAAAACTAGTAGTATGATACAAATTAGCATTATTATTTCTTATTGTGTATAGCTTCTTTTAAATAAATATACGTAGGTCTGTGTTTGTGACGTAAAACAAGCTAGGGGATTAGATTATATTGGAAGATTACCAGATAAGCTAAAAGCGAATGCATTTTTCCAAAGGTGTGATGTGACAGACGAGGAGGATTTCAAAGGTATGCCGAAGTAAAATTTTTTCCTTCTATAAGAATTATTTTCCCTCTTTTACATGAAAATCTGACACCGGCATGTAACCCAATTAGAACAAAAACTATTGAAATACACGCTAAGTTGTCCGTCTGCATAAATGGATGGGTGATCGTGTAAAGCTAAGGGTGGTGGCGTTAAATTGCTCTTTGCTCTTTCAAGACTTCCGGGTTACTGCTTCCGATATATTTTTACGCCGTAGATTGAAAAAACGCGCCATCATATTATTGCATCATATCTTTTGCAGTATTTCACATGTACCGAGTTCTTTCTTTCAGCCTTTAAACTTCAGCATTATCATATTAATATTATAATCATTAGAATATTTTCTAATTAGGCTAACTTAAAAAGATATTTTTAAAGATATTTTTGGCGACATTTTATTCAAATGTAGCCAAATAAGGGATAAAATACAAAACATGGCAAACCTTAAGAATTATTCACAATGAGATATTAACTTTCCAAAATTTTTTTTGGCCTTACGACCTCTGAGAATCAATACATTTCTGAAAGCTCTTATGAATGGTACAATTATGTTTAGATTTGAACCCAAATTACAATAACAAAACTGCATAGAATATTAGGCTTGTTCACACATCGCCTCGTAGTCATAACATAAGCGGAGGGATACACCGGAAATTTTCTAAATTTCTTCCGGTTTAAGGACGTTTGTTATTGTTTACATTAGACCACCCGTCCACAGATTGATAAGTTTTCATAACAATTTCCTTACGAAAAAAAAAGTCTTTCCCTCTTCAAAAATTGTTGAATTCACTAAAAATTCTGAAAACAACACGTCCGCCAACATCATTGCTGCACAAGCTTATTTCAATAATGCTGTAATGTAGCTAAAAGACAAAGACTTTATTCACTAGAACTGCACAATGGGCGACGATCTGGGAAACGTTTCTGAGGATGATCCGGCGACATCACACATACGTCATATCCTGTTTTACAGGAAGGGCACGTTCACACCCCATCCATCCGTTCGGAGATCGTGATTTTGACCTGAACCAGAGCACGATCAATCTCCGATCCAGTATCCCCAGTTATATATATATTTTTTCCGTTGTGTCTATGACATAGCCGAATCAAATGTTTCCATGAGTCTTGATTACTGCTTCTGCGATTTGCTTGATATTATCGTCATAAAGATCTATCAATGACGGCAAGATTCCTATTTATCTTAGATTAGCACTCATTGCTGGACACTCAAAGATGTGGCATGGTGTACGTCAACTGCGTATCTGGGCAGTTTTCACAATTCCTATACTTCCTGTCCTCTCTGTCGATCTTCATGCCTCTGTGGCGATTGGTTCTTAGCCTGGCTATAGTTTTTGTTGTGGATCTATCAGTATTTATATTACAAATCATGTGTTTCGCTGGAATTGGTTTTTCTCTTAGTTTATAAACTAAGATTATAGATTTAGCAATTGCATTTGCATCTTGGATGGAGACATTACAGTCATTAAGGTTGAGATTTCTGGCATCTTTGGCTAATTTATCTGCATTTTCATTGCCTGCAATGTCAATGTGTGCTGGTATCCACAGAAGAGTACAGGTTCTGTTTAAGTCCTGAAGATTTGAAATGATTTCTTGGGTGATAGAAGAGTCCCCTTTTAAAAAAGCTTGGAGGGCAGTTGTTATTTAAACTTGGGTCACCATCTTATGCACAGGGCGTCCGAACTTACGGAGGGCCCAACGCACTAGCAACCAGGCTATCCCGGCCTACAATTTTTTTTTGTAGAAACCACATAAAATAATAAAATCAAAATTTTTAAGATTCTGAATAGTAGGGATTATTTATTTTAATCAAGTTTAAAACGCATCATTCTTACCTTACTTTTTATATAAGAATAAAAAGTACAATCAGTTCAGATCAAACTGAATGAAAGTCACGCATATTATTATTTAACATCAACCATACAAGTTAATTTTACTGCTGTAATTCTAACGTTATGGTTGCCCCTAGTAACATTACGTTTCGAAACCAATGAAATATTGTTACATTTTTCATTTAAATGAAAGATACGTACACAATTCTTAATAGAGTTCAGGCTTGTGTGGACCCCAAAAAACTCAATTCAACTTCCTTAATAAGAGTTAGTGAGGAGAGTAGTTTTGACAATGTCAACCTTCATCTATGAACCCCTACATAGAATCGAGTTAACATATATGTCTTACATACTAGTGAATTGGAATTATATTTTTTTAGTAATGGACGCTCTACAGTACTCCTCCACCAAAATTATATCTGCGATAGAATTCGATAAAAAAAATACCACTAGTTGATTCATTGCTGTTTTATGAGAAGCAGAGAGAGCTGTATTAAAATCACCGTACTTTTAAATGCTGATCATGGTCGCTCCTCTGTTGCCATTAACAGCTGGATGTATACAGGCCGATGTTATGTGTGATCGAGACTGAGTAGCTACAGCGCGATGAAGTGTATAATGTAAAAGTCATGAGTAGCAAGTCAACGGTTCAATGGGGACCATCCATCGAAGAAGGCGTGTTCAAATCGAAGTAGAAGTTTCTGTCAAGGTAAGCGTGTTCACATTACGCTCGAAGGTCACCAATCTAGGGAGGGTAGTTATCAACAATGCCAACTTTCATCTAAGAAAAAGGTACATCAACATAGAATTGAGTTAACATGTCTTATACGAATATGAATCTCGTATACTAGTGAATCGGAATTGTATTTTTGTAGTAGAGACACTACAAGTTAAAAAATCGTTGTAATTGAATAGTTCAGTTTATTTTTTTGTAAGCCATACTTACACTAACTATCTACGTTTTTGATTTTCTAGACAATAATTACCTGCAAACATTTTTGAGTTTGATACAAAAAGAAAGGAAATATCACTTTTTTCAATAATGAGCATAACTTCATTATTTTGTTTCCATTCTAAAACAGCTGCCTTTGATAAAACTATTGAAGTGTTCGGAAAAATTGACATTGTTGTTAATAATGCTGGAATACAAGATGAACATAACTGGAAGTACACCATTGAAGTTAACTTGGTAAGTTCTTGCAGATAAAAAATTTTGGTTAGGTTTTGGCCTTTGATAAAACTATTGAAGTGTTTGGAAAAATTGACATTGTTGTTAATAATGATGGAATACAGGATGAACAAAACTGGAAGGAAACTAGAGAATTTAACTTGATAAGTTCTTGAGTATAAGATTTTGGTTATGTGTTTTAGAAACCAGGGGTGTCCATATAGGGGTAACAAGGAGGCAACAAGCCATAGACATTTTTTGGGGGGTGCTTTTTCTTTTTTCGTAGTTTTTTTAACAGAAAAATAGACTTAGGGGATATTTTTGATTATTTAAGGGAGTGCTTCGAGAAATTTAGGGAGAGAATATTTTTCTTGATAAATGTATCTAACTTTTGAAATTACATACATTAAAGAAAAGGAGTTTTTATAACCAGTAGTTCAACAGACGCGAATATCTTTCCAGCATCCGTTTGCCGTTCCTGGAATATCCCAAAACGAATTTCTTATGCATTGAGAAGTAAAACCTTCCCGCTACTACAGCACAAAATTAGCGGTCACAAGGAGACTAAATTCTAAAAACATTGATGTAGGGCATACCGGTCAGTGTCACTGAACATCTAAAACTTCAGAGTAGGAGAATACCGGGCAATGAAACTCAACTAGATCTAGTATATATTTCTCGAACATTTCGGAAAAGGCATGTTTATTAGGAGAAAGTATATTTTTAAGTCGGATTTTGTAGCTACAAATGTCGTCAGCACTAATTATTTAGCATATTTGTGGTGACCCCTTCGAACTATTATGAATGAGTCCTAGAACGAGAAGATCCGATCATTAAATCAAAAGTTATTCAGGGTGGTCCGTTTTTTTAAATTTTTTTTATGGCGTATTGTATATTTTACGAATTCAAATTTTCATTTTTGTTGAAAGAATAAAATTTTTTAGAATGTACGAATTTAAGAAAAAAAAATAAAAATAAAGCTGAAGGGTAAATAATTCGTGTAGGTAGGTCATCGCTTCCTTTTCCCAAGTTTCGAATTAGTTTTGGGACTATTAACATTCTAAGTTTAATTTTCTTTTTCAATGAAATTGCATAACAAAATTTTAAAAAAAAGTTTTTTTGCCCTACTTCAAAACACTTCATCATTTTTGTAAATATATTTAATTTATCACAAGGTTAACCTTTTCAGAAACTTTTGCCAGTTATTACAATAAATACGATAATATCATCATAGCAGATACATAATTTCAAAAAAAAAAAAAATTAAAATGCTCTTGTCTGTAAACTTTAATTCTTGTATACTGATTATTCTTTTTAAAAAAATATCTAAATTACATTCAAACAATATTTATTTACATTGAATTAAAGCAAATCGAATTGATGTTAAATTCATGTAATTTTTAAAACGACTTCTACTCAGTGTAATCAAAGAATGAAACTGATTTATACAAATTCAAAAAAAAAAAAAAAAAAAAAAAAAAAAAAAAAAAAAAAAAAAAAAAAAAANAAAAAAAAAAAAAAAAACTAAGTAAATAACAATTAAAATAATAAATCAACATGGAAAAGAGCTAAAAACAACTAAAACCAAATTGGTCTTAATTTAATTTAAAAAGACAGAAATACGAAGAATATTTTAAGATATGTGTGTTAGCAAGACAGCACTTCATAAGGGGACAAACTGCCTGTCAACACACAGGAGCTTTTCTGTTGTCAGAGGTAATACCGAAAACTGACAGTACCCCGAGGCCCCATAATGGATAAACAAATAAGAAAAAGCAATTAGAAAAATAGAAATGTAAATGCAAAGAAAAATTAATGACAAACAAACACAATTTAACATGGTTATAAATGTATATATAAAGAGAGATTGATAGTTGTAATGAGTAACACAATATGTAAACAATATAGATAAATACTTTAAATCTAAGGTTCAAATAAGCAAAATTCTATAAATATTCAAAAATACATGAGTTTTTTTCTTCTTTAGTTTACGATTGTAATCTATTTTAGTGATAGCAGTAATAGAAAATTTAATATGCATTTTAAGTTTCATAAAAGGTTACTTGAAAATAAGATTAAGTCAACAAAACAGCAAAATATAGTCCAACAATTAGTCTTTGTGATTTTAGATGGCAGTTATTCAAGGTGTCAAACTTGCTTTCCAATATATGGGAGTAGACAAGGGTGGAAAAGGTGGCTCTGTAGTTAACACAGCATCCATTGCAGGTATCAACTACTTACATCATCTTCTTTTGTAAAAAGAATCATGTTATATAAACATAAGCACTTTTATTAATTGTATCTTAATAGGCAAATGTTGACTGTTATTTTAAAGCAAATAATAATAAATAATTTTAAGAATAATTATAAGAAAATCTAAAAAATGACTTGTTAAAACTATGCAAAATCATAAATATGTTTTAGATATCATCTTCAAACTACTTAAGGCAATCAGAAACAATTTTTACAGTATCAATATCAAGAAATTTCATAGTTTAAATCATTATTTTCTTCTGTACACTCATCTTACCTTAACCAACTAATTTCTCTGCACTAAGTCCCTCTTTTGTATCAGCAGGTATAAAATACATTCTAATTCCTTCTTTTTCTCCCGTTTTTTGTTCTTTTCCAGTCTAAGTTTGATTTTGTTATCACATAAAACACATTATAGCGGCTCTTCGTTCTTGAGCTATTAAAAACTACAATTTATCCATACAACCAACTTTTGATAACCATCACAATATCGAAATATAATCACCAATTAACCAAGCTTTCTACAAATATAAATATTATCGAGTCTAAACTAAATGGAACAAAGTTTGGACTCGTTTATCCATGTTTCACGGAATTATGGTACTTCTTTGAAGTTTTTTTTTTCATATAAAAAAAATAATAATAATTTTATAAACAAAAACTTTTCGAAACGGCCTTGTCAAGAGTCTGGACTGTAGATCCAAGAAATAGAATTTCATGAACAATTGTGTCTGAAACATATCTTTTTCTAATCATTAGTTTATGCATGAAGCTTCGTTTACTTATTTTAAATTGCTTTTACTTATCCTATAAACTCATATCCAGAAAGCATGTAACCTTACGGCAATCTTATGTCTGAATTTTCTTTTAATTGTCACAAAAATGTTTGTACTAAAAACCTTTTTTCAATAAAATAAAAATATTGCAGTTTCAAACCTTTCATTTTAAAAGGATTATAAATTATTTTTCAAAGCTCTTATAAAAAGTATTGTCACTAAGGTAAAATGGTCACTTAAGTCCATAATGACGTTTTAGCTGGCGTCACACTAGCGATAGGATCAAATTGCATTGTTTATTAAAATTTCATAACAAGGTGGATTTTAGCTGAGCATATAAGATGTTGCAAAAAGAAATTATAATTACCTAGATTTAAGATTATTTTCACCTTAAGACATGCTTTATTCAGGGATTTTTTCACACTAAGACAACCTTGATTTAAGATTTCTATATAGAAGATTGTTTTCCAAGGTTATGGATTAGGGTAATGTGCATAGAATAGAGCAGATTGTGACAGATATCGTTATAAGTATTAGCAGGTTTACATGTAAAACGCATAAAAAACCTTTTTAGGTTCACATTAAAAGGCTTTTGCTGAGTGAAAATAAAGCTTACCTGGGATTGTACTTTTTAAAAATTATCTTTTTTTCAAGCAGGAATAAAGTAAAAACTATATTAAAAATTTTCATAAAACAATATGCATAAATTTTTCTAATAAAAAATTAAAACTCCAACAAAATACATGAATATATTAAAATTTTTTTAGGTTTAATAGAAATTCCACTTTCTCCTGCGTATTGTGCCACTAAGCATGCAGTTGTTGGGTTGACTAAAAGCTACGGAGTAAGAATTTTATTCTTAATAAATACATAATTTTGTGAGGCATGCATATATGTTAAAAATTAAAACTAACCTTTTAACTTCACAAAAATATTTTCAAACATGCAAAACTAAAGCAGAAAGAAGAAAATTAGTTCTCTTACATAAAACTTGTATATTAAAGGCTGTGATATTTTATACTGGTAATCGGTTTAGGAGGCCCTTTCTCTTGCCATCTTGGATTTTGGACTAAAATTTTGATTTTGACATATTTAATTTCTTAACAAACTCTCAATAGTAGAGCATCATTCAAGAGCATTAAACTTTTCAAAAAAAAATGGAAGGGATTATTAATGTAAGAGAAATACTTTTTCGTAACTGAGAAATTCAAATAATTTTTTTATCAGAAGCAAATTAATTTGTTTTTAGATTTTCAAAAAAAATTTCAAATTTTTGATTTATAAGGCATAAATTTTTTTTCATAATTTTAAATAACAAAATTAGAGCAGAATCAGTCAAATAGTTCTTAAGAAATTAAATTTTAATTCATAGTTTCAATATATGGTGAAATGTACAAAGATTAAAAATAAGGGGACAAATTTTCCAATCATTCCCCAGACTGTTTTTTTTTTATACTTACTTACAAGATAAGAAAAATAATGGGACATTTTTTAAAAATAAAAAAAAACTTAGGAAATTTAAGTCCACTGTAATATCATAAAATATATGATTTAACATAACTAAGAATAATTTGTTTCTCTGAATAAAGCCTTAACAAATAAGAGAAGTTCAAGAAATTAAAGGTTTTTCTTTACATTTCTTATTACACAGTGAAATTACGTTTTAAATAAATTCTTATGAAATTTTTAATTGACAGGAAGGAATAAAAGGAAGTATGCACTTTGTACAAAACAACTATATCTGCATATTAATAAACTTTCGGAAAATTATTTTTACAAAGCAATTTTCATAATACAGTTGATCTTAATAAATCCTAAGAACTGAAGAGAGATATTTAGATTTGAACTTAGACTTTATGCATTGTTATTTATTTATTTACTTATTTATATATATATATATATATTTTGGGGGAAATTTTTTGATAAAAATAGCATTATGCATTGTAAATATAGCCACAAAGTAAGGAAGCTTAACAAGCATATTACAATTCAATTCGTTGACACACGAAAACAATAACCTCAAAACGGTTATAATCATAAAGAAAAAAAAAAGGAATAGGAAACAAAGACTACAGAATCCTAAGAAGGTCTATTTGTGATGACCTTCAAAATTGTTCAAAAATTTCGTTCTTATTCAAAAAAGTGAGTTATGAATAATTCCATTCTTACAGGCAGAATACCACCTAAAGAAAAGTGGGATAAAAGTGAATGCTATTTGTCCAGTTGCCGCAAATACAAATCTTCATGATACATTTTTTCTACACTGTCTAGATGTAGAAGAGGGATACAAATTTGCTGACACATTCCCATTAATTCCGTAAGTAAACTAGATATATTTAATTTATGAACAATTATATAAGTTATTTAATAGTATAAAGCATATAAAAAATAGTACAGTGTATAGAATAAAATTGAGTTAAAAATAAAATAATAGTTAGATCCGACTTAATGTTTTAAGAAGTACATTAGATTTTTAATATTAAAGATGATCTTGATGGATCTTTTTTTTCTAAATTAAAATACTGAAAAGATTTTCCTCAACTTAGTTTGAAATTTTGTTTAGTACTTTTGAATAAAGTTATATCAAAGTTGAACTTATGAAAGCAAGCTTGAATAAAACAATAGACTCCCCATAAAATTTTAATGTAGTTTAAAATTGATGTTAAAATAAGTATGTAATTGACAAATCATTAAGTTGAATGTCTGACCAAAATTGCAATTTCAATAATAGAATAAATCGGTTAAAGAAAAACGATTAGATCAGCCTATATGTGATTGTATCATTCATCAGAAGAAATTTACCATTATTAGTGTAAATGACCAAAAATAGTAAAAATATAATTTATGCAAATCATATGATAGATCATTTGATATATCAAAAAAATGTATAATAAATTTAACAAATATAAATAAAGGGAATGCAGAGAATTTGCATCAATTTAAATTTGGACCACATATAAACACGGTGCATAGCCAAATCTTTCAACAACAAATGAGCACCTTTTAAGTACTTTTTAAGCACTATATACATTTGTAAAATCTAAAATAATTTTCAAAGACTTTAAAGAACTCTTTTCTTGATTATATTAGTCACCATAAAAAGATCGAGAGATTTTTTTGTTCGATTTCAGAGGGTGAAAAATGAAGTCTGAAATTGAGAATATCTTACAAAATACAGCAGAGTTGCACATGTGGACTGGCAAGTATCTCATCAAACATGTAAAATGATTGGCGCTTTCATACGCTATGGACCGACTGTAGGCCAAAATGGATTATGGTTGAATGAATTGTAAAAACGTTGAATAGAACAATGTGAAATCCACACTTTTGCATAATACGTGACGAAAATCGACATGGTAAAGAAAAAATAATCTCATTTTCGAAAGGGGAAAATAAAGCACCTTTTAAGAACACCCAATGGAAAAAGCACTTAAAAGGGCTTCTAAAAAACGAAAATTGAAAATAAGCACTTTTTTAAAAAACTATGCACCATGATAAAACGCTTTAATAATATAAAAATAAAGAAAAAATATTAAATAAAACAAATATGTACTTTTTGATTATTAATAAGGACATCATAAGTTGAAAGGAAAGGGTTTTAGTGAATGACATTATTAAGAGGAGGATGTTCACAATGTCTAGAGAATAATAATGACATTGCATGTAAATCCTTATTTATTGAATTTAGTGATATTTGTTTAATAGGAATCAGCTCCATACTTGGTAAAATGAAGGTGAACTTGATGAATAATTCTGTCTCTTTAATGAAATACAAATTTTTTCTGCAATTTAGTTTTTTATTTAATAATTACTATAGTAAAACTAATAAAAACATCATGATAATACAATTATTGTTTATTTTTAGTTATAAAGACATTGGAAAGGGTTTGATTCAAATATTAGAAGATGGTAAAAATGGATCTTTACTGATAGTAGATGAAAATGGACCATATTATGTATAATATGCTTGCATAAGTTCACTTAAAAAAATTAAGATTTAACATAGTAACGTTTTTATCAAGTTTTGAATTCCATTAAAATACAAATAAGTTCAGTCAAGCTCATTTATTACAATAACATATGGAAGATGGTAACCCACTTGTAAATTCAAGGCACTTGTCAAACTAGTGTCAACTGAAGTGATACATAATGCACAAAAATAAAAGACTTAAAAATGGCTTATTGTTTATTTATACAAAATAACTACAGGGGAAAAATTGCTTGTGATTTAAATTGTGTTTCCCCCAGACCATAGAAAGCCATATCTTTGAAGAATAGATTTACAGGTAATAAGGAAAAAATTTTTTTTACCTCCATTAAATATGAATTGGAATCAATATAACTAATCACTGCAATGATTTTAGAGTGTTTTGATGTCATCTGATGATTCTGGGTCTAAGTCAAAATTCCGGAAAATTTCTTGAGTTAACAAAAAAAAAAAACAGTTTAAATTGAAAAATTAGAAAACAATTTTAACAAGTTTTTTTCCCTTTTTCTCAATATTTCTTAGTTTACTTAAAATATATTTAAAAATTTTACACATACCTATGATGACCTGGAGAAGTAATTAAAATTTACAAATATGTCTTTCTTTCTTGAGTTTATGATTATAACAACTATTTACTGATAAAAAAATTTTTATTAATCATGAATATAAGCTTATAAAGTATCTTTCTGGCTCTCCCTTACAAACGAATAAAATAAACTGTGTTTTTAAGTTCCACCTTTGAAAATTTTATTTCCTGAAATTTTGTGATCTTTGATTTTTTTAAACGTCTGGACCTTCGATCCCCGGATCATTGTTCGCGAAAATTCCGGAAATCCGGAGCACAATCAGCCCTGTATCATTAAAAATTTTATTTTTTAAACTGTTTATCAGGGTGGAACCGTTAGTCGTTTATTAGTCCTTGCAATAATCACTATAGCTCATTCTTCTGTTTAGGTTTTCTGTTAATGAATTAGGAGGCTAAGCATCCCTGCTCGGAAAAACCTGAAATTGATTCTCAATCTTTATTGTTTATTTCTTTTTAAACATCAATATTTTCCATAAAAACACAAGATATTTGGGTTTCTAAGTGTGCAATTATTTTAGCTTTATGTCAGAACATTCTGTTAATATATTAACCAGAACCAAATGGACAGTTACCTGAAATTAAAAAATAATCATCTGAACTTGAGTTTTAAGAATACTGAGGAATTTAAAAAATGCAAATTCAACAAATAATTTATTTACAATTAAGAAAAAAGTATAAATACATATATACAAATAAATATCTAAAAAAAAAAAACTCTTTTTTTGTTAAAAACAAGGATTAGTTTGTAAGATTTTGGACACAGAAAATATAATTATGAAACATATGCTTGATACAAATTGTGAAACATATTCAATGTTTAATGTATTGATTGGGCGAAAAAATTCATGTACTTAGATGCTTCAATTGTTAATTTTGAGGGGAATAAATCTTTTATCATCACACCAATACACTTTTCAAATAAGAAAATAATGGATATTTTTGAATTAGATGTCACAAATGCTTGGAATGATTTATTTAGAAAATGCTAAATTTTGAAGTTTAGTAAAATAACATGATTTTTCTGAAATTATGTTGAAAAGGAAATGTATATCTTAGGTTCATTAATAGGAAAAGAATAATTTATTCGAACTTTTCTAGAATAATGATTTAATTTTTTAAGTTTTTCGCTGTTTAAGTAAATAATTATAACTGGGAAAAAAAAAGTATTTTGGAAAAATGGTGAGGTTGGACAAAAGGAATATTGAAATGCATGCCGAACCTGGAAGTGATGACTAGTATGACTAGTTGGGTGAGACAAGCACCTAATATCATTAAAAAATTATAAATTGATAAAAATAATTATAATATTGAATGTTAATAAAAAATTTCTAAAACAATTATTTTTTATGAAAAGTTATGTATAATTTATGCAAAAATATTCAATTAAAAAACAGATAAAATAAAATGAAAGTGTTAAAAAAAAAACTCTTGGCCCTACAGTCAATCTTAAATTTATCATAGGACAAATTGGAAGACTAGTTAACATAATATTTCAGCAAAATACATTATCATAATTAAATTATAACCATCATTATAAGGAATCATCATTATGGTATCATCGATCATCATTATATGATTTTTATTATCATTAGTACCTTAATAATTTGTTAAGATTAAAAAAGCAACAATTTCAGCTGAAATTTACTATAAGGTAGTTGATAAAAAATCTTTCAATACTCTTTGACGAGTGAATGAAGCCATATCATTAATAATGCTATTAATGTTTTCGTCAATTTGTTCACCATTGTCATTTGCCTCACTATCAGAATCATCACTATCTTCATCTACACTTTCAGTCAAATGGAAAGGAACATTCTTTATGATACACAGATTGTGCAAAACTGCACAAGCATCTATAATTTGTGATACCTGGCCAGGAGCATAACTTAATTTCAGTTCATTATCCAAACACCTAAATCGTGATCTTATTGTTCTTTTGCATTTTCTCATGCATTCCCTTGCAGCGTAATGCTTTTTGTTGAACACTTTTTCATTTTCATCTGGATTCTTAAAAGGAGTTAGTAACCAGGGCTCCAGAGGAAAGTTACCATCACCTGAAATGAATTAGAAAATTTTATTAAATCTAAGTAAAAAATAGAATTGTTCAAAAAATTACATTTCATTTTTTTAAAAAATATATAATATTTGAAAACTTTTATGTAATATTTCCCTTTACAGATCAAAATTAATGCATTACTTATAGAATTTAAAAAGTGGTGAGTATTTTGTTTAAAAGTTTAGAATTAATGACTTGAGAGCCAGACCAGAAATTTTACATTTAAACATTTGAAGTTCAGGGACTAATCCAAAACTTTTAATTCAATAACTATTTTTGTGACATTTTATTTTTGTATAACATTTTAGTGTAATCTTCCATGAAAAAAATATGTTTAAAAGTAAAAATAATAGATATAAATTAATTTTATAGGAACTACTTTCTTTAAAAATAAAAATCCAATTACGATACTTGTTTACAACTTTTCATAACACAATGCCTGTTTAAAATGACCATTACTATTTACAAGTAAGAAAAATAAGTTTGGATTTGGGCATATGCAGAGAGATGGAGCCAAAAAATATTTGATGCTTTGTGTCAAGTATCTATGCATAACATAAAATTATCATTAGGAGTTCAAAAGCTTCTTTTAGCTATCACAGTTAGTTAAAGTGGCAAAATTAGTAAAAGAATACAAAATATAAAATTCTATACTAACAGAACTTTCCTTGAAAGAAACACGCTTAAAAGCAGCAGAATAAAAGAAAGATTAATTGAAGCAATAAAGAAAAAACAATGAAAATAAAATAAAAATATGGCCACCAAAGCCGACGTCTTTAGGGGGTACCTGTTCCGGAAGCCATAGAACAAAACCTTTTCTATTGAGAGAGTGGATAAATGTCAAAATTAGCTCTCTCAGTACCCCTGAAGGTTTTTTAAAAGTCCAGGTAAAAAAACAAGAAATACATAAAATCAAATACGAAGAGAAATTTGAAACAAAATCTTGAGAATTTGTTGAAATCTCAAGATTTTGTTTGAAATTTCTCTTCGTAAAGTGGCAAAAATAATTCAATATACAAAAAAAAAAAAAAAAAAAAAAAAAAAAAAAAAAAAAAAAAAAAAAAAAAAAAAAANAAAAAAAAAAAAAAAAAAAAAAAAAACTTGTGGTTGCTCGTTACAAAAACTAAAAAATTACTCTTGTTGGAAAATTAAATTTTGAGTAACTGCAGGTAAACTATATAGATATGCTACAAGCATTCGACTATTGTATAAATACAGGTGAGCAGCACATCCTATTTTTAATTTCAAAAAATATTTCTAGTTTAGGATTAACTATTATAAGTTTTTGGTCACCCTTGTTACATTTCAAAGAACAATTAAATTGACCCTTTTTATCATAATAGTACACATACTTTTATTTATTTTCGTAATGTTAAATGAAAAAAGAATACACAATTATAAAAAATAATACAAAACAAACAAAATTACTATATGAATTGATAAATTTTCTAGATGATATACTGACCCTGAAGAAAATTAATGAAAAATATGAAAAATTCTTTCATTTTAGTTTTCATTGATTCATAGTTTTAATTTAGTTGCTTTTCTTTTTTGGCGATTTAATTTGAAATAAAAAAAGTGATTCATTACTGTTCTACTTTCTGTGGAATAACCTAAAACTATACAGTACTGGTATTTACAAATTTAATACTATTTGAATAATATTTCCTGTTTAAAATAAATTGGTATACATAAATTTAATTTATTTCTGTTCATTGCTATATTTCTAAATTTATAATTTTGAAAAGAAAATTACATTCATTTTAGATTATTGTAATATATTAAATAAATTAAAAAAATATATTTGATTAAAAAAAACTACGCAAATAAATGAAATGAATTTAGAAAGAAAAGTTTAAATGAAATCCATTTTTTAATTTGGTAGAAATGCTGATATATTTAATACTTTAAGCTAGCAAAAAGTTGCATAAAAATTTTTTTCAGGGAATTTTCTGACATAAAAAAAAAAATCCAAGAGAACATTCTATTATAAATCAGAAGAAACTCACAAAATTTAATAATCCATAAAACAAATCTAGTTACTTTAAACAATTACAGCAGTTTCAAACAAAATTATTATACTTTTGCAAGTAGAACACTTTTAAAGTTGTTAAGAGAAAAAATTTTTTTACCCTATATGGAATTTTAGTTAAGATTTAAGTTATATATGAATACAAAAATAATTTATCAATGATGAAGATAACTACAATTATCGACTCTGAACGGAATGAACCAATAATGCAAATAGTATTGTTTTTTTTTAAAATTTCAAGCAAAAAAGAAAGATGATAAATAATTTCATCTTAATATAAAAATCAAATGAGTATTAAAGCAATAAATTTAAAACTATTATGCTAGTAACAGAGGAGAAAGTAAATAAAACAACCTTACCTTGTCAAAACTTTATTTTCTTAGAAAACGGCAAATATAATGACAATATAATATAGGTACTGCATAAATAAAATTAGTTTTAATAAACTTATGAAAAAGAAATAATAGCAATCTGAATAAATACTATTTACCCAAAAGCCATGAGTTATGATTTTGATGCAATGACAATATTTCCCTAATTTCATTTTTATACCACATAGCACTATCCTCTGTGCCACCAGGAGAATCGGAGCATATACCTAATATCTTCAATGAGGAATCTGTTACCTGTCAATGGACAAAACAAGTAACAAAAAATAAATATTTTTTATTATAAAACAAAAGTAAATAAGAGCATATAAGGAAAGGTATGTTACACAACTGACAAAGTAACACCTTCAGAAAAAAGGCATAAAGTATTGAAAACACCAAACTTCTATATAATCTTTAATAAAACTTAAGCTGTTACTGTTAAAAGAAAAAACAAAAGAGACAGATCTTTTAAGTCTTTCTAGAAAAGTTTCAGAAAATAGATTTTGCTGGTTGTGAAACAACACACATCACATAACCATTCACTACATAATCACAGTGATTCCGTTTGGAAACAACACGTCCTTGAAACCCAGGACTTCCAAATTTCTGGATCTTTTTTATCTAAAAGCAGGTACTTATTTAAAATAATATAAATCTCTACTTTAAATCTGTACATAAAAATAATTTATGATTAAAAAAAAAAAAGGAAATACCATAGAAAGTAAGACCATGAATTTTTTTCTTCAAATTAAATGGATATATTTTATATCAGGTTTCAGTTCAGAAAATTAAACTGGAAGAATTCATACAGTAATTTATCAGGCTTTGTTAAAGTATAGTTTTTTATATTATTGGTAAGCACACTTTTTTCGGTTAATATTAAAAAATATGTCCTACTGTACTAAAAAGGATCAATTTTTTTTTAAACGTAACAAGAGTAGCCAAAAATTTATAAAAGTTTATCGGAAATTAAAAAAATTATTTTTAAAATCAAAAACATCCATATGAATGTGCTGCTTTGAGCAATAGCTAATGGTTTGAAATTGATCCATACAGTTTATTTGCAGCAACTCTAAAATTAATTTTGTAACAAGAGTAACAACAAACTTTTTTGTTTATTGAATAATTTTTGTCAATTTATAAACCGGCATATAATAAAGAAACACGAATTTTTAGTAAAATAGTTAACTCAAATTCATATCTACATTTGGATTGCTGATCTTCAAAATATGGGGGAGGGGGTAGTAGTCAGGCTCTGGGAAACATGGCCTCAATAGGAGAGCAGTTGAAAATTAGGACTCCTTTAATGTTAGTTCTACTTCTAGCATAATTCCGAGATATTAAGCAAATCGAAAAAATTTTGCTCACAATTGTTATTCATTTATTCAACGCAAATTAATAATTTTTGATGATTATTTATTATTATTTCATTTAAAAATAGTAGAAAATTTCTACTTGTAAAATATACAAATTTTGAAATTATTTAAAAGAATGTTATTTGACATGGAAAAATACAACTGAAGTCAGTCAAACAGTTCTTGAGAAAACAAATTTTAAATATACAACATTTTAAACTGGAAATGGTCAAAATTTCAAGGAAGAAATTTTTATAAAAAAAATAATAAAATTACTGAAAAAAAGTTTTTTATCTGTTGTTGATTCCAAAACTATTTCTGCTGTAAAAAATTAAATAAATACAACATTATAAACTTTTCACTCATCATGTACTTTGCAAATTTCTTATCAAATCTTCAAATAGGAAGTAACAAGAGTAACCAGGAATTTTTCTCATAAAAAAAAAACAAAAAACAATCTGTTCAGATTTAAAACTTTTTACAGCTATCACATAATAAGTTTTCTTCCTTTCTTGAAATTATTGAAAATAATATGATTATTTCTATAGGTTAAATAATATAATCATTAATGCAAATCTGTACTCTAAAAATACCTCTACTTTTAATACTTCTAAAAAATACCTCTAAAAATACTCTTACTTTTCAGGTAACAAAAGTAACTATAATTTAATTCACCATTTTTAAAACTATTAAAATTTATGAAGTTTTTCCTTCATAAATATAAAAGGTACGCTTTCTTTTCTGTTATCCAGCAAAAAATAGTACAAATGAAATAGTATAGTTAAAAATGAAAAGCTCATAAGTAAAAGCAAATCGTTATGCAGAACCCCAATACATGTAACAAGAATAATTATGGAATTGCCCTTTTTGCATTTTACTTTCCTTTAATAAGTTTGAAAATTCTTACTCCTAAAATCCACTATATTTAGAATATTATTTATAGTTTGCTTAAGTGTTATTTTGTTTAGCTAGAAGTTGTTTTGCCCGTGTAATTGTATAAAAAATGTGATTAGCAATTGATTCAGTAATAATAATTTAACAAAGAATTAATTATTTCTTTCTGTTATTAATATAAAAGAAATAATTTTTTTTTTGTAGTTTTGTTTTCATTTTGCTTACATAAGTCTGCTTATTTTTTTCTTGATGGAGAATTATGTGTTAGTCAATTTGATACACTATAGCATGTAAGCAAACCCACTGTATCATTAAGGTTTTATTAATGATAAGTTTTTATCATGAAATTAAGACAGTTAATTAAGCATTTTTCAATAAAAAAACAATTTATCCTGAAACTTTAATAAATAATAATCATAGTAACTACATATAAAGTTTTAAAATAACTCACCATTTGCACTTTAAGGGAGTGAACACCTTTGCTATTAATGAAATTGGGATGCTGTGCTTCTATTGACTTTAAAGCAATGCAAGTACTATCAATCACACCGATGACATTAGGAAATCCATATTTTTCAAAGAATTTTGTTTGCCCTTCTGATTGTTCCTCTTCAACAGTAGGAAACTTTATATATTTTGGAAACAATAATTCATTAATAGCTTTGCTAACCTGATGAATACATCGGCTTACTGAAGCTTGACTAACAGATACAAAGATATCATCCGCAAGTGACTTTTGATATTTTCCAGTAGCATAAAATCTTAGAGCTACTAGAATCTGCAAACACAAAAAGTGGAATTAGTCTAGGGGGAAAAAAGCATTAGTATAAAAACTTTGGAGATAATAGCAAGGACCATAAATTTAGTTATGCAAAAAGAAAAAAATACAACACTACTAAGTAAAAAAAATTATTTAAACTGCCTATTCAAAAATGTCAGTTTGAATTATTTTTAAAAGAAAAACTGCAAACAACTTGAAATCTAGAATAAAAACTAGACTGAATAATTTGAATTTATTATCAAACAATGTATAGTTGTTTGTTTACATACCTGTCAAGAAAATGTAGATATTTGGCAAATGAAAAAAAAAAAAAAAACTTTGGAACCTTCTCTTCAAAAAGTATTGCCACATATTGTGTGAAATAGTCACAATTTGGTCTTGAAACTCTTATTCAGAATTCGTACACAAAACGGAAGAAATTTTTTCCCTGACTCTACTGAGTTTTTCCAGTCAGGCAATATATATATATATATATTTTCTTTAAAGATAAAAAGGGAAAATGTTAAGTGAATTTATATTTAATAAAAATATATTCATGTCGAAAAATTTTACTACATAAGTCAAGTAGTGGTTTACTGTTGAAAAACTGGTATTTTTCATTCTTAAAGCTGGTAACAGCTCTTGTTGTTACCAACTACTCTTGAAATTTTACTCTTGTAAAATTTCAAACACTAAAATTTAAAGACAAAATTTTCTCCAAATTTAAGAGCAATTTAAGGATGTTGATTTTAAGTAATTTTCTCTCTCAATAAAAAAAGTATATTTACAACATGGTCAAAAAACAAATTTGTTCTATAAAAATTAAATAGTTATAAGAATATCTATGTATATAATATTTGCATGAAACAAAACATATCAATACTTTACAATTTTAAAAAATAAAACAACTAAAATTAACTTTCTAAAATTTACTTGACAATAAGAGGAAAATAAAGGTAGAGTTAAAATATTATAAACTATCCTTTCTAAATACATTTATTACTTCAAAAATCAAAATACATCGAAACTTGGATAAATGATATTTATTTTCGCTATATACACTGACTGAGCAAAACTCATGGGATAGCGGGGCTCTGATTTGTGGATGGACAACACGTGTGACCAACGCCACCTGGTGTCTCCTCGACGGTCTCAGTTGTGTGTTAGACATTGCTTGAAGTGGCTGTGTGAGTGATCAGGTAAAATGCGTCGTGAGTTGACGGCATTCGAACGCAGAATGGTTGTGGGTGCTCGACGCATGGGACATTCCATTTTGGAAGTGGTTCAGGAATTCGGCTTCCAAGGTCAACCGTGTCGAGAGTTTACCGAGAATGGGTGAATGAGGGTGTCACAGTCCTCTACAGACACCATACCGGGCGCCCAAAGGCCCTAAATGACCAAAACAGGCGAAACATGAGACGAGTGGTAACTCGAGATACGAGAGCAATTGTGCAGCAAATCACGGCTGAATTCAACACTGGTCGTGATAGAGACGTGTCCCAGTAGACAATCTGTCGGAACATACGTGTTTTCGGGTATGAGAGCCGTCGCCCCACACGTGTGCCACTGCTAACCCAGCGTCATCGGACAATTCGGCGTGCATTTGCCACCAATCACCACGGATGGACACTGCAACAGTGGCGTAACGTGATCTGGTCTGACGAATCACGTTATCAACTGTTCCATGCTGATGGGAGGCACCGTGTGTGGCGCACAACGCACGAAGCGATGGATCCAGCATGCCAAGTGGGCACAGTCCAGGCCGGTGGCATATCAGTCATGGTGTGGGGTGCATTTTCTTGGCATGGAATGGGCCCCCTGGTCGTTCTGGATGCCACATTGACTTGCCAGCGGTATCTTCAGCTGTTTGGAGACCATCTCCACCCTTTTGTCATGTTTCAACACCCTGATGACATTGCTATGTATCAAGATGACAACGCAGCCCCACGTCGTCACCAATATCGTCCGTGCCTGGTTCGACGAGCATGCAGGTGAGCTCCAACGACTGAATTGGCCACCTCGAAGTCCTGATATGAACCCCATTGAACAGATCTGGGATGCCCTCGACTTCAGGCTCAGGGCATTGAATCCTCAACCCACGAACAGGCCACAATTGGCTGCCGCTCTGCAGGATGTGTGGTGCCAACTACCTCCGGACGTGTTCCAGAACCTTGCAGATTCACTTCCACGCCATATCGCTGCACTCCGCAGGGCCAGAGGGGCCCCGACCAGATTTTAGGTTGGTATCCCATGAGTTTTGCTCAGTCAGTGTATATCATGGCAAATAATGGCAAGTTTTTGGTGGCACTTATGTTAATCTCATTCACATTTTTTGCCTTTCATGGGATTTTTTGAAATAGCTAGCTTTAATCTTTTATTATCCTCGCCCAGTGAAGAAATGGTCAAAATTATCCTCTCCTATTAAACTAGTTTCAGTCTTACAAAGCAATTACACATGTAGAAAATTAATATTTAAATTAAATAAAGCTTAAAATTAAGAGCATGTTTGAAAACCTTGGATCGGACATTGGAGCTTCCAAATTACAGTCAATATGTAGTTTTATTTATAATAAAATAAAAAAACTATAAAAGTTAATTAAGTTATTTTTTTCAAAAATTTTTAATAAACTACAAAATTTATATTTTAAATAAAGATTAGAAAAAATAGTTTCTTTTTTTAGTTTAATACTGTTTGTAAAAAATTGTTTTGGGACATATTATTACTTGAAACTGTTCTAAATTTAGTTTAATACTAACATTAAAGTGTTTTAAACCTTATCAAAATTTCTACTTTTTGAACATTGTCAATGAAAGACAAAGCAATTTCTTTAGTATTGAGAATGTAAAAACCAGATAATAAACAAGAAGGTGGATTTTCATAAAACCTCTCTAATATGTAATGTTATTCGTCATTATTTATTTCACATTCAATCGCAGACACGATAAAAATATGAACTTCTTACTTAGTAAATCTTTACGTAACCAATTCTTTTACAAAAGAAGTATACAAAAAGTATTTATTTTACTCAAAAAATTTTTAATAAAATTCTTTCTTGCTTTTCATATTTACATTCACATTCATAAAATCATTAAGACTTCTTATTCTTAAGTTTCTTTTTTAGTTATTTTCCTTCGTAATCTTTTATTTATTTATGGTTTCCATATTGTAAAAGCTAATCGAAATTAAAATCATAGAGTCTGTAACACCAAATGTTATGTCTGCAACAAATTAAATTGCTTTTTTCATAATTATTAAAAGTCAAAATCTTTAAAACTTGAATTTCCTAAATAAATATTACAAAAATATTACTTTAAAAATATTGGTATATTTCATAGAAATATTTAACTAATTGTCCACTGTGCAATTTTGACATTTACTTCTTTAAAAGTCAGTTCTTAATTTTTTTTAAAAAATTCAAATTTCTGGATCAAAAGTTTTAGAAAAACTGCGGAGGACCCTAAGAGTTATTGCAGTAAAAAATATTTGATGATTATTAACTAAGTTATATGTTCAAAATCTACAAATGATAGGTAAGTAAAGGTGGAATTGCCTGACTTTGGTCAAAAAAATTTGAAAAGATTACTATAATCCTTATTTATAAAAATCAGCAAGATTTTTTTCAATTTTGTTCAATTTGGCTGAAATAAGATGCTTGTTTATAGGAATTATATTAAACAAATTATACTTATTTCTTAGCTACCAACTCATGCGCATTTTTAAGAACTTTTTTCCAGAAAAAGTAAGATAAAAATTTTGCTGACAATAAGCAAAATAAATTACAATAGTTCCTCATATCACATCAATGATTATCAGATAATTTATGTGTATATGCAAATTAATTAGGTATAATGGCACTTGTGAACATTTAAAATCATATTTATAAAATATAGAAAAAAAACAAAGAATAAATTCTGCTACGATTAAAATCTAAAAATAAAATCTTCTGGTAAAAAGAAGTTGGCAGTCATATTATTCATAACGCTTTCTTATTTAAAGTTTAGCATTCTTTTGAGTTGCTGTTGATGTTTAGTTTATTAGATGAAAATTAATGCTAGAGCTTATCAACATTTTTTGGTCAAAAAAGCAATTTCATTCATCATTTTTTCCCTACTTAAAATATAAGTTTGGTATGCAGGATGTGTCCAGTTTTTATAGCCCAGTTGGTGCTAAAATTTTAAGCCTCTTTGGTGCAAGTGGCCATATGGAAATTTTTTATAGTTATGAGCATTAACAGGTACCAATATAAAAATATCTTTCACGAAGTGTGGGAGATTTCCATATCATGATCTGAAGCAGAAGAATCACAGTCTTGGCAACTTCCGGGCAGTGGCCTGCTATAAATAGAAAGAAAAAAAAAACATCACAGGAAGGGCCCAACTCAAAAGATATAACTTAATAGCCACCCTAGGCAAACATCTACATGTTTTTTTTAAAAAAAATTTCAAGTTTAAAATCTATTTTGCACCTTATCGATTGCAGTTGGCGCAACAGATCACGATATAGAAATATCCCCATAAAATGTATGATAGTTTTTCCTGCCACTGTAAATTTTTAAAAATATAATAGATAAATCATTTTAAAACACTTAACATAGAATAATTTTTAAAATTAATTCCAGCCCAATATACAAATGTTTATTTACTCTTGCTTGAGGTGATATTCGGACAACTCCTTTATTAAGAAGAACAGGCTTTAATTCCTCTACTAAAAAAGAAAACAAGTTTTTGCTGATCCTAAACTGTCTCATAAATGTTCGATCAGGTAACGATAAGGGATCTTGAGCGTCTCTCAATGACCGGCGAACATGCATTCTTCTGCCCCTTTCTATTTCATCGATTAAAAATATTGAGAAAAATTCAAAACCATCCATTTCTTTTGTTTAATAATGTACAGAAGAATCAACTAGGTTAATAATGCTAGAAAAAAGAAGACATTGAAATTATCTAAACTTAGCAAAAGGAGCCATCAAACATCGTTTATTTGAATTACATACAACAGTTAATAAAATATCTTGGCTTACAAAGACTAGAAAAGCGGAGAAAAAAGGAAAAATATAAATTTTATTTATGTTCGTTCGGTAAACTTCCGGGTGCTCATTTTCATACATTTATTGCACTGCGAATTAGCGTGAATTGTTTTAAACTTTATCATTTAATTTAAAATTTAGCTTATAATTAATTAATTATGCAACGATATTATATTCTTTACCTTAAAAGAATGAGTCTTTAAAGGGAAACAATTTAGAAATTAAGTTTTGAGGTTGCAAAGTGCTTTTTAAAAAAGTAAACTTTGGTCAACAGAAATAGACATTAGGAAACTATCTGATTGTTTGATGTGTTGTGTTCTCTGGGTTTGGACTTGGATATTTTGTTATTTGTTGTGAAACTTTTGAAAAAAATTAAAGTGTAGTTATTGAATAAAATGGATGCAGCAGATGATAATATTGATTGGCGTGAAGCTTCTGACAGTTTAAAAGATGACATAGAGTCACGGACACCCTATACTGATGCAGTTAAATGTAAAAAACCAGTCAATCATGTTAAGCGACCTATGAATCCGTTCATGATTTGGAGTCAAATTGAAAGGAGAAAAATTATGGACCAAAATCCCGGCATTCCATCCCCAGAAATTAGCGTACAGCTGGGAAAGAGATGGAAAATGTTAACTAACCAAGAAAGAATTCCTTTTGCTAAAGAAGCTGAACGACTTCGAAAGCTTCATTCTCAAGAATTTCCTGACTACAAATTTTCTCCTAAACCAAAGAAAAAGAAGACTCCAAAATTGAAGGCAGATTTAAAATTTTCTAAAAATAAACGTGTTTCTACCCCTGGGAATTTGGAAAAAAGCGACGAAAAGTTTATAGCTCGTAATAATTTGGTTGCTTTGAAAGATAGGATAATTGAAAAATGTGAATCTGTTGATAAAAGTGGTTCAAAATTTACCTATTACTATTCCAAGCCTGCTACTTCCGTCTCTTCTGATATTAAAGAGAAACTTGAGAATCCTGAAGAAGAGAAGTTCCTTTCACTTGAAAGTGAACAAATTCAAGCAGCCGGCACATCCAAAAAAAGCTCTAAAAAAGTTTCAAGAAAAAATAAATTTTCTAAAATCACTACTGAGGGGAAACTTGTATGGGATAGTTTAATGGAAGTTGATATTGCTACTTTGTCTAGTAAAAAAACTTTACCTCCTCGTTTACAAATAGACGGTTGCCTGACTTCAGGTTCAATAGCAGCTCTTTCTTGTTACAGAGATGATTGGGCTGCTGCTTTTGATTATTTAACGGATAAAGTACTTCAAAGCTCAAAGAATATTTGTGAAGAAATAGACAATATTTCAAAACAATATGGAGAAGCATTAGAAGGAAAAAATAATGCCTATCTAACAGAACCATTAGAGTTTAACATTCCTGACATTAATAAAGAACTGGGAAAGAAATGGAAAGATCCTAATTTTGGTTTGAAATTTTCTACGTAGAACGTGTTGTGAATAGTTTGGTTAGCCCGTCGCACCTAAAAAGTCGCCAAAAAATGTAAACTTATGCAAACTTTTACTTTTGTTATTTTTTTTAAACGCATAAAAAATAAATTAAAAAATTATGGAATTTCCTTGTAACCAAAAAGCTCCCCGGCTAACTGAAAAGTGTCGATTATTTTTACAAGATAAAAGTGCAATAATATTTGTTGTGAAGTATTTTTTGTAAATCTTAAGTGAAAAAAATTAATCCACATTGATTCAATTTTCATCGAATGATCATATTTTGATTAACTATTTGTGCAATCTTCATGTTTCATTGCTGTCATGTTTCAAGCAGTTGCTTGTAGGTATCCAATTAAATCTGATCTGAAAATTGATTCAGCATTGTGATAATCCTTAAAGCTGCAACCTTAGCATGCCTTTCAAAGCCACATGATTAGACACATCCATTTCATTAGTTGCACGCACCCAATTGGCTTTTAAATGATTAATATACTGCCGACAGCCTTCTTCTCAAAAATTAATGGAAAAAATCTATGTAGGGCCATTCTCCTGTTATGCACGGGACATTTGCAGACCCGTGAAGTATATAAAAATAATAAAATAATGAAGTTATTAATTTTTTTTTTACAATTCAAATCAAAACAAGACTGTTTCTTAAATATTGTATTGAAAAGAAATCAAAAATTAAAGTTTAAATACTTGAAAAGACATTTAATATAGTCGTTATGCACGGGACTCAGAAAAAAGATAAATTTCTACCTTGACTTTTATTATTCATAAACTCTGTGAATTTAGAACTTGTGTATTGTCATTATATTTTTTTCTTAACTAATAAATATTACTTCTATTCAATTATGCTACATGTTTTCCAAATACATTATTTGATAAGATTATAAATTTATTTTATCTGTGTTATGCACGGGACATGCCTAATGTTATGCACGGGATATGTCTGTAATTCACTACACCCGAAAGTATACACTTGATTTAATTATGTATATTTTGAAGTGGCAACACTAATTCATTCACAGGAAAGTGGCAACACTTATTTATAGTTTTGTGATCTGGATTAGAAGCTTTATAAATCATTATAAAGGATAATTGAGCATTATTTTTCTTTTATTCCAAGCAAAAGTAAGTTAATATTTTTTACTGTTTATTTCTATTTTAAGTTTATTTGCAATAAAGTTTATATGTATAAAGTTTAAGTTTATATGCATATTTACATTAAATTTGTTAAGCCTAATTTTAGAACATTTTTATTAAAGAACATTTGATTGTTTAGAAGCTAGAACATTTGAATTCTGTATTTTTTAAATAAATCTGGCTTTATATTTTTTAAGAATGTAAAGTTGGCTTTATATTCTATTAAATGCTTTGTAAATTAAAATTTATTTATTATAATAAATTAAATTCTTTGAAAAAAAATTTGAATTTAGAATTCTAAAAAATTTGAATTTAGAAGTTTTTAATACTAGTTGATTTCTTTTCCTTAATGATGTAAAAAATTATGAACTAAAATCATGTTTGTTTTAAATATATATATTTTTAGAACTACAGATGGCCCCTGTTCCAGCAAAATTAACAGGAAAAGATAGAGCTAAACTTTTTAGGCAGAAGCATGGTGAAGAACTAAAAGAAAAAAATAGAATACGCATGAGGGCAAAACGCGCAAATGAAAAGAAACAAAGACAGAATAATACAATTGAATATGAAAAATATAAAAGTAAGGAAACAAAAAGAAAACAACTGTATCGCCAAAGAAAGAAAACAGAGTTAAGGAACAATACACCATCAAGCAGCCTAATTGAAAATACCTACAAGACTCCTCAAGCTTTTGGAAAAGCAATGAGAAAATCATTAAAATCTTTACCAGAATCTCCAACCAAAAAAAAAGCAGTAGTTTCTGCAATTGCAACAAACTTGGGCTTAAACATACATGCTACTCAGAAAAATACCATCAGTGATGAAGAGTCACATAATTTAGTACAAGAATTTTTTTTTCGTCCAGATATTGTTTTTACAGCACCAGGGATGAAAGATGAAGTTACAGTTTGGAAGAATGGTGAGAAAATTAAATTAAGAAAATATTATTTGGTGACATATCTGAAAGAAGCTTATTCCGTTTTTAAGGATGAATACCCAAATTGTTCCATCAGCTTTTCCACATTTTGCAAGTTAAGACCGGAAAATGTTTTTCTGCTGCGTCAAACACCAGAAGATCAGTGCAAATGCATGGTATGTGAAAACTTCTTTCTTCAGCTTAAAGCACTAAAAGTTTCTTACAATTCAAAATTATTTTGGCAAGAAACACTTTGTGATGATTTGATAAACTCTACATGTTGGCAAGGATTTTGTGAAAATTGCTGCATAGGGCAAAAATTGAAATGTAATGAAGATCTTTCTCAGAACGTGTGTTGGAAAAAATGGGTAAAAAATGAAGAAGCAAAATTATATTGCCAAGTGAAACAGACATGCATTGGAGAAGTTTTGGAATGTACACACGACAATTTTTCGTCAATAAGTGCTCATATTAACACAAAAAGAATTCAATTCCAAGAATTCCAAAATGATAAAAGTTCACAAGAAAAAAGAGTTTTGCAACTGGATTTTGCAATGAACTACAGTTGTTCATATCAAGATGAAATACAGAGTGCACTTTGGAGTCGAAAAAGTGTAACTTTATTTACAGCTGCAGTATTCGTACGCGAAAAATGCAATACTTACCTAATATGTTCAGACACTACCGAGAAAGAAAAAAATACTGTCAAGGCTTTCATTGAGAAAATTTATGAAGAAATCAAACCAAATGATGAAGAAAATAAATTTCTTGAAGAGGTAATCTGGACAGATGGACCTTCATCAGAGTTTAAAAATAGGTTCATGACCTTGCTGCTGCAAGACCTTAGCAATAAATTCTATAAGACTTTCCACTGGAAATATTTTGCAACTTCTCATGGCAAAGGTGTGGTGGATGGAATTGGTGGTAAAGCAAAATGTTTGGTACGAAACGCTGTTAGGTCAAAAAAATCTACAGCTCCAATTGTGCAGTCTGCAGAAGATTTTGCAAACGTTGTAAAAAAAGCTATGCCATCAACTACAGTTATGCTGTTTTTGGATAAAGACATAAACAGAAATAATGATATGTGGGCCAACGCAAGAGTAATACCAGGAATTTCTAAAATGCACGGAATTACTTATTCACCTTCTTCTGGTTTAAAATTTTATAAAAATGCACTAACACCAATAAAAGAAAATTTTAATACCACACCAATTAACACCACAAGAATTATTGCAGGAAATTGGGTAGTTGTGAGATATGATAATAGTTTATATGCTGGAGAAGTTACGCAAGTGCTAGGAAATGACATTGAAGTTTCTGCCATGATGAAGTCTGGAAAATATTGGAAATGGCCAAAACGGGAAGATAAAGTGTTTTATAACATGAGAGAAGTTGTTAAAGTTATTCAACCACCTACAGTTGTAAATGCTCGTGGAGTTTTTGATTTTCCTGATTTTTAGAAAAATCTATGTTATGCACGGGACATAAAAACAAGTGCTAATATTTTATCTAATATTGAACTTAGAGGAACTTCCTTTGTAATATAAGTTGGTACTAAGAGAAAGAAAGTAAATTTGAAGCAGATTCTGTTTTGCCCTAAAAATAAATAAGAAAAATAAAAATTATCATGTTTTTGTGTTATGCACGGGACAGCCAATTTTCGCTAAAATAAATTGTTCTTTTATGCATAATTTTAATGCAATAATTTAATTTTTATTTCATTTTTAAATACGAGCATTATATAGATATATTTAAAAAAAGAAGAAAATTTAAATGCTATAATATTTTTTCAGCTAAGGAAATAAATGTTAATATGTTGATTGTAACAAGAAAATTTAAAAAGTTCAATGCTAAATTTCAAGAATTGATTCCATAATAAAATTTTTAGATAAAACTATTATTTTATCTCATTTTTTATGATTTAACCTATGTACTTTATTATTGAATAAATAAAAAATATGTACAAAAAAGATAAAAATTGAGGTTTAGAGTGTTTACAGTGGAGAATGGCCCTGTAGCTATATTTTATAATTGTCTTTTAAATTAAAAAAATAGCAAAATTTTAGTAATAAAATAAAATTTCTGGAAGAGAGAAATACTAAATTCAAGATATTACAAAATTCCACTCTCTCAACATTTCAACGTTTTTGTAGAAATTTTTATTTAAAACCAAGAAAGGTTTAAGGCAAGTCTATTACTCTGAATTATATTTAAAAGTTAAAAATACTGTACAAAATCCCATATCTGGATGTCCTTTTACCAGAAAGGTCTCTTTTCCGGACACTTTTTAACAATCATTATAAAGAGAACTCTTTTTCCCTTATCCGAAGATTAAAACTTTTCTTAAACTTGCAACTGGTTAAAAAAAAAGTATACGGGGATGAGAACTTTATTTTCCGGTTTTTTATGATTCTTACCAGACTTCTGATTTTTGCTGCAATATGAAGGAAAAAAAATTGAATATTATGGAAATAAAATTCTACATTTTACTACTGTGGGAAAAAAATTGCAATATTTTTTCTTGTGTCTTGCATAAGTGGATTATTAATTAAAACCAAGAATCTCATGCTTAGAGTGCTCAAAAATTTCACATTTTGAAAAAATTCCAGATTTGAGATGGAATCATTGCAACTAAAGTGGGTTATTAAGTCATTATTCAAAAGCGCAATTCCAAATTTGAGAATCGTAATAATATATTAAAAATGAAATCGAAATTTTAAAAACTATGTCAAAATCCCCAAACTGTTGAAAATGCAATTGACAGAACCACGTTGACAAAATGGTCACAAATCAAGTGCATAAAAAAGTAAATTCTACAAATGCGGGATACAAAATTTCTCGTGTGTGATAATGAAGGATTAAAATAACTTTGAAAATTGCAAGCAGAAACTGACAAAATGCAATTGTAAATCCACGTGGGATTGCGGAGGAATCTTTAATAATTGAGTGCGAAATGCACGATTCAATATCGTATTGAAACATTGAGATTTGTGAAACCAACTAAAAATACTTTTTAATAACTCTCTGAGAAGCAATCAGCAAAACTATGGGATCGTTGCTAATTGAGTGACGGGAGAAATTATAAGTGACATAAAGGTGGGATTTAGTATTTAGGGTAGGTATGTTATAATATGTTAAAACATTTAGATTTCGAAAAATCATGTGGAAATGTGTAACAAAAGTTGCAAAAAATAGTGCAACCATGCAAACCTTGTGGATTTATTAGTCATTGATTGAAATTACTGATAATTATCGTTGATTTGTTATTTTTTATTCAGTACGGATATTTTTATGTGTTTTTACCTTAAAGATTTATTATCCAAAAAAAAAAAACTGTTTTATAGACTTTCCTAAATCCCAATGATTCCTGAAATGGGATTTTCCATTGTATTTTATCTATAATAAAAAAATTTATTTTATTTCTGAGAAGTTGAAAATTATAATAGTATAATTGACATAGGCATCACTGGCCGGCACAGTTAGAAACAAAACAGCGATGAAGAATGATTTTTTTCCTTATGTGTAAAATTTAAAAAATTTTTATGAATGGAATTCAATTTTTGCTCCCCCCCCCATCAAACATTGGACCTCTGTGACAGGCATGTTAATTGTAATAATATATCTAGTTTTGGTACTTGTGTAATATCCTGTCGACCAAAAATGTTGGTAGAAATTGATACCAAATAGTTTCATTTTATATTCAGTGCATATTTAAAGGGGAATGAAACAAAAATTTGTTTTAAAATATTAAAATTAATGTTTTTGATCATGTGATTAAAACATTTGAGGCAGAATTTATATATAAAAAAAGTAGTTTAATTCTTTTTAGTTTAGCAAAAAAGGAGAAGAAAAAGTATATTTCAATTAAAAATTTTAAAAAATAATCATCCATTTGGCATATAGTCTTTTCTAGCAAAAAATCATGTTTGGTTTTGTTGAAAATAGTTGACAAATTTTAAACACCCCCTTTTTTTATGTAAAAAAAACAAGAAAGCATGAAAAATTAAAGCTTAAGACATTTCTACAAATAAATGTATCAAATTTTAACTTCAGAAAGGGTTTATTTATTTTTTTAACCACCTTATCCCCCCCCCCACAAAGAAAATAATACTTTGATTCAATTGGGTGAAAAGAAAAAGGTCTGTACTATCTATCCCTGAGTAAAACGACAATGCTTAAAAAAAGAAGAAAAAACTTTTTTAAATGTGTACACTGCTTTTTCTTTCACTCAAGGATAATGATAGAAGATATAATATATGGATTTAAAATAGGCAGATGTACTGGTTGCCAATAGCAAGCAATCTGATGAGATATTGTGCATATATATAATTTAAAAGAAAATATCTAGGCAGGCATGGCATTTAACTACTGTATATTTTAAACTTATAGATTGTTTTACTTGTATTTTAAACATATTGATTGTTTTACTGGTTGCCAATAACAAGCAATCTGATGAGATATTGTGTATATATATAATTTAAAGGAAAATCTCTAAGAAGGCATGGCATTTAACTACTACATATTTTAAACATATAAATTGTTTTACTTGCAAAATATTTTTTTTCTTATAAACATTAATTACCATTATTTACATCGATTAAGAATGATATAAAAATGAAAAAGCTCTATTTGTATGCATTTTTACAGTGTTAATTTCTACCACAAAAATAAGCTACTATGATACATATTAATTTTTAAATGATCAAACAAGTCTGTCAATAATTATTTTATTCCACGAAATTCAAAAATAAAGAAAACAAAATTCTTTTTTGCTTTTTACAAGAAAAGTTATCAGCTAAACAATTTTGTACTAAGCTCTTTGTGAGGACAAGACAAATACAGAAAACAAGATTAAAATAACATATAAAGAAAAAGTCATGTAAGAAATTTTGAACTGATATGTATCAGACTTACTACTTATAAACCTATTATGAATTTTTTTAAATTCAATGTCAATATGCTATAATGAACATGTGATGAATAGTTTATTATGATACTGAGATCTACACATTTTATTCCAAGAGCCTTGGTGATAAATTTTATTAATATTATCTTTCATCATGTAAATACATATTAAGCATGCATATTTTAAACTTTCCATAAATATTACTATAGTTAATGTGTTAATTTTAATGAGATGTGCAATTGCAAACATGATCAGTGAAATGTACCAAATTTGCTATTTTCAATTACGTTTTTTTTTGTTGTTTAATTTAGTGTAGGACTTTCTAATAAAGGATTTTTCTTACATTTACTACTGAAATTTTTAAATAGATTCCCAATGAGACATATAATTTACATAGTAGATAGTTTAACCCACTGCACGTAAAAAGTCGTATTTTAACCTGCAGTCTTCACTGTATAGCAAAACCGGTTTTTCTATGTTATTCGATAGGGAAATAGTGCATCGGGGAGAAACATTCTCCCAATCTTGCCCTTTTGCTAAACCGCCAGTGGGTTGAAGAAATCGTGGGAAAATTTACCCTAAAAACCTACTAAAGCTAAAACTTTACAATTTTAGTTTGAAAGAAAATGTTCAAACATCCATTAAACTTCAAAATAGGAAAAGATTGATTTTTGAAATCGAATTGTATTTAAATGTTTCTAATTTACCTTAAAAAATACATTGCAGATAGCTGTATTTATTATTATTAGGAAGTTTCCTACATGTATTATTTCAGGACTGAAGTAAGATTAAATCCATTGATAGCATTTAAAATATTTAAAAATAAAAATGCAATCATGTTATATGTGAGAGAGTGAACTAATTAAATTAAAACTTTTTTCTCTTAGAAACCCTACATTCCATTCAGTTTTGTTTTAAAAATCTATGCACAACATGCATTTTAGCGAGAAGTTGATGATATCTTTTATTTATTTATGAATAGTTGAAACAGCAAATATCTTTATGTTCCTTCATGTGATTGAAAATTATTATCTCTGTATTTTGATTAATTTAAAATCTACTATAGTGCGGCTTTGAGGAGAACTCCAGGCTAAATGTCTGGGACTGTCTGCTGCTATGGTAACAAGCAAGAACACATTTCTAACAGGGGTGCAAAGGAGGAATGAAGGTGTTGATTGGTTTACTCACGCTGACCTATGCCAAGATCAAGGCAAAACTATTCACCCCACACCCCTATTCGATTTTTTTTTTCTCATAACCATGGTACCCGCCACGACGCGAGGCTGAAGTCTGAAAGAAGTTCTCCTGAAAGCTGTACTATACTTAATTTTTAATAGTTTTTATAAACAGTTATTATTATTTTTTTTAGTGTGTAGTTCTAATATGTTAACTAGTATACAAATTAAGAATGTCATCAGAAAAGCAATATAACCCATAAAAAATTCTTGATTATTAGATAAGAAAATTATAAAATGTCACTAGTTATTGTTAATTAAAATAGTAAGCAGTAAATGTGAAATAACATATATAACATCAATTAAACAGAGCAAAAAATATCACTTTCCATAAGCAGAATATGTACACAAACAGACACAAATTATACACTAATCCATGTTTGTACAAACTAAAGTGTTCAAGGAGGAATGTTAATTTTTACAATGTATGGCAAAGTCGTATACAGGAAAAGTATCTTTGACATCTTTATGTACAATGTTATTTTTCATGTATCATCTACAAGAATCTTCTGTGAAAATATCTTATTCTACCAAGCAATTATGAAAGCATAACTGTTAAAAAAAAATGAAGGAAAATAATCACTGATCACAATTTGTTCGTTATCAAATGTGGCATTATTTTCATAAACGTGATTGTCGTTTACTAAATCTTCCTAATGGCAAAAAGGTAATCTTTGAATAAAAGTAAAATATAAATTTAACATAATTTTTCTATAGATAAAAATATTTTATTAATTGACTATTGAATCAATTGATTTATAAGGAAGACAAGCATGCATTGATTTCTTATGGTTTTATATTCTTTTATTTTCCTATTAAGAATGGCAGTGTTTGAATCTATTATTTTACCCTTAGTTAGTAATTTTGCATTCTCTAAAAATAAAATTAGCTTATTTTTCAAAAAAAAAAAAAAAGCATGCTTGATTGTTATTGTTAAATGACATCAATCTATATTACAAGTGATTAAATCACATCTTCATAAATAATTATACAAAGTATAATGATCAGTCAAATCTTACTAACCTCATTTATAGCAATTGCTTCAGAATATTAACAGATAAGTACAGAAAATAATAGTTAAATTAAAATATAAATGACCCTCAATGTATTTAAAATATATTTAGTTACAAAATTTTTTTATAGAAACAGTTTTGTACAAGTACAAAAAATAATCCTTAAACTTTAGAAAGAAAATTGAACGTCTTTTATATAAATATTTAACACTAATTTGGCTATGTATTAAAGATTAAATGCTAATCACAATAAAGAACAACTACAATTAAAGTCATTTGGCAAAAACTGTTTTAGTCGCTTTAAATCTAAACATGTATGAGGTTTCACTAGTAAAGACAATCACGTTTTCTGATAGTTGAGATCAATAGTTTTTAAATTCTGGCGTAGTTGGTGTTGAGAGTGGACTCTTGTATTTGGCTCTTATGTGAAGGAAAGAATCAGGGGAGCCATTGCAGGCCAATGAGATGTATTCATCTGACAGTGAAGGCTTTCTGTTAACAACAATGACTTGGCAAGGTTCATGTCTGGACAGGAAATGCTCCAGAGTATCCCAACCACCGCCAACACGCACCATCACGTGTTTACCATTTAAAAGCTACAAAAGAATTTACAGAAAAGCATATTAGTAAACACTTTTTATAGTAACAGTCATATTACTGTAATGGATGGAAATAACTGTACGAGACACGAAAACTTAGGCCTGTACTATTAATGTCGCTCACTCAATATATATTTAATTTAATCAATTATGATCAATGAGATTAAATCGGTAATTTCTAAGAAACCAGTTTCCTGATCAAGCAATCAATGATAAATAGTGTCAGAAAGAATGATTTCATATACACGTCTTGATATTTTAACAGTATATGTTAAATATCCTTGCCACCTGGTTATAAATCTGATAGTCCGTAAATTACAATAATTTCCTTTTAAAACATTGAAATATATATTTTTTTAAAATACAATATTTTTTGTTGTATCCAAATTTTTTTTTAAAAAGCATTCAGACAACTACTTCTTATATATTTATTAGAACATTAGAAGCTTAAAATAATACTAGATAAATAAACTACCATTACTATTTAATTCATTAATTATGTAAAATTACGGTGAAAAATCTGCCCGGACCTTGCTTTTCAGAAGAAAACTATGGAGATAATAGCCATTCTTATGTTCTTAAGTTTCAAGATTCAGTCACAGCCTACGAGTTGAGTTTTTAATTTTGTTTAAAAATAAAATCAACAAACTGCGAAGAATTACAAAAAAACTTTTAGTATTTTTCTTCACCTTTTTCTACTCACTAAAAACTTGCAAAGAAGTTATAAAATTATTATTTTTATTTCATTAACGACGAATATTTATTTAATGCAATAAGAAATAAATGCATGAAATGCACTATAAATAGAACTTACACGAACAAAAACATTTTTTCCTCCAATACAATATTTCCCTTCTGATATTCTAGTGATTTCAGTTTTACTATCTTTGCAGACATTGCTGGCAATCTTCATTACCTATCAAGGATTAAAATAAATTAGCACTATATTACATACAACTGGACAGTAGAGATAATCATCTGTAAAACTATCATATCTACACATACTGATCAAGCCATAAGTTCTACTCAAAATTGCATAGCTGTTGTTATTGTCATAGACCATTAAGGTAAGGAGGGTGATTGTTCTAGTGACGCCATCAATGGCCAAGAATTCGTCTTCTGCCACACCCATACGTCACACACGTTTATAGGGCTGACCCATTCATTCATCCACAGATCTAATTTTGACGTAAACCAGAGAACGATCTATGTCCAATTCAGTATCGCCAGAGGTATAATTTTTTATGGAAACGCGAAGAACTGTTAAGGGAACACGGAGGATATTGTGACCTGACAGATTTGACATGTACCTGTCACCATTTACCACACGGGAAGTTTTCGGCTGACTGGATTCGAACTCCCGTTCTCACGAACGTGAGTCCAGCACCCTGCCGAACTCGCTAACTCGGTCCATAGAAAATTAATGAAGAAGCTTATTAGCGCGATGACGTTCGGAACGCGCTAGAATTTTTTTTATCTCCTAGCCAGCGAACAGCATATTTATCTTTGCAAAACGATACGTTATAAAAGCTGAGTAAAGTTATTTCAGTAGGAAATTTCAAGATCGATTTCGTACACATTTTATTTTTTTATTTGAAAACTACGGAATTTAAAATGATTTAAACGTTTTCTAACTTATTTAAATTTTTCAACCCATAATAAATAATTATTTAAAATAGTAACGAATAATAGCATCTTGCATCGAATTCCATGCATTTTAAAATATGCTGTACTAATTTTATTGTTCTTTGCGTGGAATGGAATTCAAACGTGTGGTATTCAAATGGCATAACAGAAAGTGTCTGTGACAATTTTTTTTAAAATTTAAATGTTTAATTTCAAATTTACACGCTGTGTTTTGCATTCATGTACTGGCAGTAAAATTGTTCATTAATAAAATATTGTTTTTCTCTCTTTTTAGAATTTACTCTATTTAACATTTTTATAATTTTTAGCACAATATTTTGTTAGTTCTTACCTTCTCTGTTTTCTTCATTTATTTATTTATTTGATCTCAGCATTTTAATCTTTTTGTTGAATCGATTTACTAATATTATTTTGGCTTTTTTACCAGGGCTCGAAAAAACCCAGAAATTTTACCCGTCCCCGAGGACGGCTTGTCCAACAATGTACCCGTCCTCCTTTGAAACTAACCCGTCGCTTCTAAATAAATAAAAATATAATTTCTCTTATTTATTACAAACATTTACATAAATTGCACAATGAATTAGTAGTTACTAGGATTACATTATGCAGTAATACGCATTACATTATATAGTATATACTAGGTTACTAATAGTGACCTAGTATTTCCTTTATGAAATAATTTAAATGACAAAGGTCAAGTTATCTGGAATGTCAATTTATCCGAGGGTACTGCGCTTTTGAAATGAATCAAATATGACGTTTGCCAGTTCCACAATCAAGCCAATGATTTACAGAGGTTTCTGCATAGAAATCTGAAAGGGGTTTTCCATTTAGGTAGATGTTCATAATTGTGTTTAACGCTTCTTGTTTAACACCAGTACGTAACGTTATTATTTTTTTTTTTTGTAAGTTCATTGCTGAAAAGTCCCTTTCAAACGCTGCAGTACGGGAGACAGAGAAAACATCAATTCCACCATGAGCTGTATGTTGCTGTATTTCTAGATTAGAGGGTCATTTTAGAAGTGAGGCGCTGCAGACGTCGGATTCTAGAAATTTGTTGTCCACGGGGAATTTTTGACCGCCGAGGACGGGCTGTTTTTCGAGCCCTGTTTTTTACGCTTGATTTTAATAACTACCAATCTTTGATCATTATGGGATAATGAAGCTAATTAGTTTTAGGGTGTAATAGATGGCAATAAATAATTTTAACGCACAACAGGAATTATGTAAAGATCGATTTTTCTCAAGTTTGTTACCATATTAATTTTTTAGACCAGTAAATGAATACCTAGGTGGTCCTATTGGACCACTAAATTTTCATTACTGGTGCGAACACTAAGCATTCTTTTACGTGAGGCGTTTTTTCGATTGTAAAATCCACGATAAAACTGTTTTTAAAGTAAAGTCTATTTATAATGGTTTTATTTAAATACATTGCATTTAATTTAATTTATGCATTTTTTAATTAAATATAGAATTTCTCAGTTTCTTTGGGGTACCTTTAACAAATTTGATATTTGTAAAAAGTAACATATTTATTCGCAACTATCTGGGGCAGCTACTAGTAAAAAAGAAATGTTTTTGAACTAAAATGAAAACTTATTGGGACAAGTTTTTGTCACATTTTATGATAGTATTTTCGTAAATAGTTTAACTTTCTCAATTCTTTACACTGTGCTAGAGGCTACAAGTAATTGAACATATAAAATATTTTTTGCTGAATTAGAGATCTTGTAATGTTATACAATATCACCCATGTAGCTTCTAGAACAACATTTCTAAAAAGCAAAAAATCTTTCTAAATTAGAGTGCATTTTATTTTTTTAAATCAAAAATTTCTCTTCAATTCTTTCGTTTATTACTGTTAAGAAATAGAACTGTTTTTTTCTGACTGTTTGGTTAAAGTAACCCCAGTTAACGATCCGCAGTCTAAATCAGAACTAGACTTCCGAATTTTTTAACTGCTTAAACTCTTTCACTTTTTAAGTTACTGTTCCAATTTATTGAAGAAGTGAAGACATACTTATTATTTTTTTTACTAACAATAATAATAATAAAAAAAAGTGAATGCACATTTGAATTTAATAAAACTGTAAGCAGAATTTTGGGCTTTTATAAATAAATTGCATAGTAGTATGTGTAAACTAATGATGAATGATATAAGTACGAAGCAAACCTTTTTATCTAATTCTGAGGGCTTCGTTCGTTTTTTCTGTTCTTTGGAAGTCGGTGGCGTGTACGACAACCTATTCCTAGGCCTCATGTTATTGTAGTGGGCTATACCACTGTCAGGAGTGGTCGGACTCATTAGACTGCTGGATAAATTCGATGAAGTCATCGAGAGAGCAGATTCCGTCCGACTGCGTACTAGAGTAGGAGAAGATCCAGTCGACAGAGAGCTAAGACCATCGGAGGAGCGATCATCTTCCTGTTCATCGATCTCCTTTTCAAGTTGGATCAAACCTGGTGGCTCGATGGCGTATTTGGAAGCGATACGACCCAGCTCTAATAAGCATAACACCACTGTTCTTGGCTGAGTGTGTAAGACTTCAAAAAAAAAAAACGTGTTGTGATATTTTCATTAAAAGAGATAAAATATGATACAAACCAAAACATAATAAAACAGTGAGGATAGAAATAAGTTACAGAAGTTATACTTTCTAATTTCTATGCTTTATTTATTTATTTTACTCTCGAAGTCAGGCATCACTGAATGAAGTCTGTGTGCGGATAATTTACCACTTTGATCAGCCTGTGAAGAGACGAGGGTGTGCGGTATTGGTGCTCGTTAAACTGTTCTACCGGGAAGTGCTCGACTTCGCGCCTAGGTCGTTGGGTTACCGAAGAGGGGGTGCCATCTTCTCTGCAGAGGATCAGATTTTGTGATGGCATGTCTTCGGATCATTCTCAGAAATGTTTTCCAGTCCGAAGCCAATAGACCGTTGGGCAGCTCTAGTGCGACGTAAATAAACTACTACTAATTTTTAGTTTACACAAACCAAACCGCTTTCTTCCCCCTAAGTGTTTGGATGGCCAAATAGTGAGGGAATCCTAATGAAAACACAGAAAGTAGAATGGCCACACTTAAGTACTGTTCTGTTCTTATGTTACCAGTTGTCCCAAAATTGAAAGACGATTTGAAAAAAAAAAAAAAAACAATTTAAGAAGACAAAATTTTAAGACTAGTTATGAGTTTCGCTAGAAAATGCGTGACTAAGTGGGATGTTTTCAGAATAACAGCAGCTGAGGGCAAAATTAACAGACACCAGAGCATAAATTTAATTTAGAATGGGTTGATAAGCAGCAGAAAATGTTATATCAATTTTCTCTGCTGGCAGCGCCACCTGTTGATGAGCTTCGCAAATAATTTCGATAATTAATCATAAAATTGGCACTGTTACAGCCAGTGATGCTTGAGTTCGGGGTTCTATTGGGAACCGTGTCTTTACCATGAATCCACTGCGGGACAGTCATTTTTGGGATAGCTGGTATGAGGTACCAATTACAGAGAAGACATTCGTTCACGTCTGCGGAAAAATACAAAATAGTATATGATATCTCAATATTAAGTCAATTTTACGTATTATTAAAGGGAACAAATTATAATCTTATCAGACATATGTTTTCTTCTTCTTTTATAATTCAAAAATTGGTCTAATTGTTTGCAATTGCTTTCAAAAATTGCATGTTCGGTTAATTCATGTATAATAGCTTATTTCATTATAAAACGCATGAAGCATATTACGCAAATATAATTTTCCAAACTTAACGATTATTACAAGTAAAAAATACACTTTTATGTTGAGAATCAAGTCATCCACATTGTGCAGATCAAATCATATTTTATTAAAAGTTAACTTCATCAGAAACAGCAGAATTAAAAATATTTAGCAGTGATAAATAACATACCTAGACCATCTGATTCAAAAATGACCGCTTCATGTACTCCAAATTTTCGGCACCATCTTATGAAGTTATCAGCATTATCACGAGCGTAGAAAGATTCCGATTTTGCATTTTCCCAACATTTAAACCGAACCGATGGGACAGGCTAGAATATGAATATATACATATTAAAAACAGCAAAGTGATGAACAGCTAATATTTAAAAAGTGCAAAGAAATTTCAGCTTTGAATACAACCATAATGCTAATTGTTTACACCTTATGGATTTGCAAGGAGTGTCGCGGCGTTTTGGGATACCAAGGATTGAAAACAGGAGTGTCCCAAGGTCTATTAGTGATCTATTGCTATTTGAAAGTGAAAAGTTGTGAGGTCATGTTTTGAATATGAGGATCCTAAGCTAAGTGAAAAAGGATATGAAATGTCTCATTTCCTTTGCTTCTCCCAGGACTGGAAGTTCTGAATATAAAAATTAAGGACTAAATTGCCACCAAATTTAAGGACAAGTAAAGGATGCTGATTCTCTAATGGGAGCAATTTCTAGGATACCAACATGGATTCGCAGATATACAATTGGTCATAGTTTCAGTTGTTCTTGCACTTAATTAAAAAAAAGAAACATTTTTTAAAAAAATCTGTCTTTTTTCTTTTTTTAAATAAAAAAACAAAAGTTTTGCGTTTTTTTTCCATGTACATATATACATATATTAAAGTGGGAGAATATAGAATAAATACGGAAATTCTTTAATTAGTGGGAAAATACGTGGATTCTCTCCTGAAAATCAGTAGAGTATGATTTGGCGACGGAGGGGGAAAAGAGCTATAAGAACTTTATATACATTTTTCCCACATGGAATATTCTATCAAGAGTAATTGTTTCTAACAACGGATGTAAACTAATACCATACTTGTCACGCTATGAAGATTGGCATTCATTTTGTTATATACTTTGTTTCACAGCATATAACAAAATTTCTGAATTTGAAATTTCTTCAATTATGTTAAAGAAAAATACAAAAATCTTTCAACATATATTGAAATTTTTAATATTTACACATAATGACATGTAAGGACCCTTTCTTTTTTTTTCTTTTCATGAATTTCCGGACAACTTTGAGCCCTGTTCATCATCTGTGAAGTTGAGTTCTCAGTAGTAACTGATCAAAAAAGCGAATATCGAAAAGGAAAAAAGAGTTGCTGTATATGAAACTTTATAGCAAAATTTGAAAAATAATGTAACGAACAGCTATCTCCCTCATCGCACTAAAGGAATTCAAAATACATTTGAGTGTATAAATTGTTATAACACCATCTAATTCATCATAATTAAAAAAAAAATTCTGTTGCTTTATTTTCTTGAGCTGGTGTTACTAAAATCAAAATATTTATTACAATATTTGTTCACTTGGCTTTTCAATAGTGTAGTACAACGGTTCCCAAATGGTGTTCCACGGAACCCTAAGGAAGGAAAAAAAGGGTTCCGAGAGTTAGGGAATTTTTTTTTTACCTAGGTAATGATTTTTGAAAACTTCTTTATATTTATATCTAATCAATAATTTATTATTCATTTAATATTTCGGTTGTTTATGAAATTATTTTAAATAAAATGTCAATGTAAAAGAAATAGCAAAGTTTTTTTTTTGTGTAGAAAAATATTATTTTTCTAAGAACAAAATTTTATTTTTGAAAATAACTTGCATTTATGAAAATTTTTATTTATATTTCTCATCATTCTTCTCAAATCTAAATAAAATAAATGAATTCTTTAAAAAATATTCCCTGGTAACCATTTTAACTGTTTATAAAAGTTCTTTCAGCTTTCATTTCAACAAAATCATAACCCGGTCTACTTCTTTAATTTTCGCTTGCGTATAAACCCCAGAAATAAATTTAAAATTAAATTAGGTACAGCTTTGTAGGGTGAATTCAATAAAACTTAATTTGAGATTATTAATGAGAAAAACGATGGAAAAAAATTCCTTCTTCTTTTCAAACACTTTACATTGTTTTTATATACTTTATTACTTCCTTATTGTGCTTCCTTACTTCCTCCTACTTTATTACTCCTTATATACTTATTGTTTTTATATACTATATACTTTATTCGGGGTTCCGCAGAAAGAAGTTAATACATTTTGGGTATCATACCCAGTAAGCACACACCTCACGGCAAACGTAAGGCCGTAAGCNCAAAAGTCGTGTGCTTGTTGGGTAGCCTGGGAACCGCTCTTGTAGTACAACAATCGTGTAATATTTCAGAATAATAACAGAAAATCCAAAATATTAAAATAAAATTAAGGCTGATTTTTGAAGATTTTGTCTTCTCATAAAGTGATTTTTTGAGGCTCTTTTCATAACTGCTGTGAGTTTGCAAACGTACATCATTAGTTGCCTCTCTTCTAGGCTAATTCTGAAAATGACACAAAACGTATATACGAAGAAAAGTCACAGTTTTGTGAAAGGGAAAAGCATTAGCGATCTAATTTTAAATATTTAAAAAAATTTCTGATGCAACCTTATCAGGGCTCATAAAAATTTGCAAATATTGAGAATAATTCATTGATTTCGATAGTTTTCATCTAGAAGGAAAAATCTCTCCAAATTAACGTTTTTTTTTTAATTTTTTTTTTAATATTTTAGTTATTTGCCCATCCATTATTTCCGGCAAGACGGTATCTATATATAGTATTAAATTTATATCTTTACCACCTTAAGTGTTAGGAACTTAAATTATGGTCTACTTATTTCCCTTTGAGAAAAGAGCTTCGAGAAACACTGATGAGGCCTAAGCGTCAGTTGTAGATTGCTAAACTCTTTCATCGCAACGGACGAAATAACTCGTCTTCCAGGAATATACGCAATGTATGTAATCCGCAGTGAGTAATCTTATTGATTGCTATTGGTAAAGATTATTTTGAAAATAAAATAAACAAGTTAAAGGAATTTACTTTTTGTTTCAATTTTAATGCTTCGGGGGAAACTCTGTGACGTAAGTCTTAAAGCTTCGATTAGACTGAAAAAAGTTATAATTTAAGAATTTAATTAAGAAATTTATTGGCATAAATTAAGCGATATGTATAGGATGTGTTTTTTGACGCATTAAGATTACAGATTCTTAGATCGAAAATTATCCGGTATTATTTTTAGATACAAAGATGTGATTGAGGCATGCATGTAGAGAATATCAGACAATTATAAAATGTTGAGCTTACCCCTGTAACAAGTCCCTGTCGTTTGCATTCTTCCGCTTTCTGCTGAATAAGTCTTGCTAGTTTGCAAATAATAACACCATTGTCAAGCTTATCCATAAAGTTTTGAGCAGTGATATCTTCAACCTCTAAAAAATTAGAAAGAAAATTTTGTTAAATATTGCAAAAGCAGTCAATTCTGCATATTAGCTATTATACCAATTTCACACCTATTATAAAAAGTATATTTGCGCAGCGATACAATGTAAGAAAAAGTAACTAAGAGCTTTTTGCGCTTCATGTACGTCTAAATATTACTGTTAATCAGAAATATTTATCACTTCTTAAAGATCCTCTTTAATGGGAAGACCATTTAGTTCCTTCATGTTAACTCACGGAGAATTACATGAATGAAGATTCCTTATTTACTAAGTAACCATTTAAAATTTTATAATATGTTATGTTTAATTCTACTTATTTAACTGATTTTTTGAATTAAGTAAACAAATTTCAAATTTTAAGGTGGTCAGTATATTAAATTTTTATTTTTATTTTTTAGAGTTACTATAATAGATCTGCAGCATCCCAAAAGAAACACAAACATACTTAGAATTTAAAATTTGGAAACAATAAAACTCGAACATATTTCAGTGATTTATAAAACAGACCAAATAAACGAGAAACCCTTGTCTAAAAAATTAATTAGTAGTCTAATAACTTAATTCTAAATTTAAAAAAAAATTACGATCATATAATTCTCTATAGGTTGGCATGGAGGAAGTAGAATACCTTTTTTGTATGAAAGGTTTAGAGTTGATCCATGTTATTATAAATAGTGAATCTATGATACCTAATTCATGTGACTCGTAGTTATTTATAATTAATGTTACTCACATAACACAGACCATATTCGCGCTTTATTTTTTTATTTAAAAAAAAAATTAATAAAACATTTTTTAACAATTGATTTTTGTTTCTTTTAGGTATGCCAGAACTTACTTTTCTCATAACTTTAAATTTAAAATGCAAATGAAGAGAAGGCAGAATTTTTCATGAAAAGTTTCTCTTTTAGTTGCCCCTATATGATAATGATTAGTCTAATTACGCGAAATAATATATTTTATATCACATTATCTTTTTCGATGATTGTATTATATAATTTTAATTTTATTTTATTACCACAAGTAATAAATATTAATGAATTAAGGTGACGAGCAATGCTTCAAGCACTACTAAACAAATATAAACCTATTTTCTGATTAATAATAATTACTTGCCCAATATGCCGGATTAACTTTAATCACAAGCGAGAGGTTTCCTTCTTTGGGTGGGTTAAAAAAAAAAAAGAAGAGACCTCTGGATTATTCTAATCATACAAGTTAATTGTGGAGTTTAATAGCAAAAGAGCCTAATTTGCTTATACTGCGGTAAGGACAAACAGTACAGATTGTGGCAAAACAAACCCGCAAACAATTTCAACTTTACTAAAAATAAATAAATTAACAAATTGCAACAAAGAAGAAAAATTAACAAATTATAACAAATAATAATAACAGGGTCGTGGTGGCTCAAGATATAGGGAGCTCACCTCCTAACAAGCAATAGCTAAAATTCAAATTCCACGTCTGGCACCCACCGACCTCAGTACTGACGTAAAAAATCCTTAGTTGTAGACGGGTAACGGATTAAAGCCTCCTTGTCATTAAGCGAACTGTGGGAAGTTTCTTGGTTTTCCTCTTCATGTAACGAAATGCTAATTAGTTCCATCAAAAAGTCCTCCAGGAATACAAATTTCTCATAATACTTAATTCAGGAGTTCCCTTGACTTTTGGATTGGATTCAAAATTACAAGACTACGAGTTGAAAATCCGTAGTCGTAAAACACAAATTTGGGTCTGTTGTTGAACGACGGTTATAAAAAATAATAATAATAACAGTAGACTTTTATTTATAAATAAATTTAATTGGCTTCGAAGCGGCCGCCTTTTGCTGCGATGCCGAGGCGCAACCTTTTAATGAATTTTTTAGAAATGGGCCGCCAGTTTTTTACCTTTAATCTACCTCATTCTTGCTAAAGCGATTGCTTTAGAACAGCGGTACGGTAACATAACCCTAAACTGTCGACTTTTTTTGGACGGAACCCAGATGCTAGAAAAGAGCTTATTAGCAGCTGTGAATATGCCAAAAAAAAAAACCAACAACAACAATTAATTTGGAAACATTAGTAGTAAAGACTGAAATTTACTTATTGCTTCATCAATAAGTCTTAAAATTAGGTTTTACATTAGGCAATTGAATTCATAGGTCTGCAATGGCTTTAGGTCTAGTAGTCTTTGATGTATATATGTTACTATGAATGACTGAAATTGGTGGTTGTTGACTTCCGGTGAATGCTGACAGTCATATAGTCGCTTTGGTAAATGTCCGAAATATATACTAGGTCTAGTTAAGTGTTACTGGCAGGTATAAATTTGCCCGGTATGCCCTACACTGTTTTTTTTTTTTTTTTTTTTTTTTTTTTTTTTTTTTTTTTTTTTTTTTTTNTTTTTTTTTTTTTTTTTTTTTTTTTCAAGGTACAGTGACACTGCCCAGTATGCATTTAACCGGTACTCTGAACACTGATGTTTCTTCTAATCTATCTCAGCAGATATTAAAATATCCAAAATATGTAATAGTATCAACGAATAAATTAATATGATATCGGATATAACAAATATTTCGGACATTTACCAAAGTTACCAATATTATCTTAATTTCGGTCATTCTCGGCAACATGCATAAGTCAAATTGAATTAAGAAGGTTAAATTATGGTTTTTGAGGAAGATTTTTTTAAGCTGTTAGAATAGTTGTCGGTGAAATATAATTCTTTACTTTTGAATTTGAATACTTTATTTTGAACGTTAAAATTCGATGAGAAATACTTTTACATGAATAACTAACTACGGAGTTTCTTTTATTTTAATTTTGTTATTTAATTTCATTGAATAATTTGTAAAAATAATCGAAACATTAAATTAATTAGGCTGGCCTATTTAAGATTTCAAAAATAAATCACTGGTTAAAATAAAAAGCCCTAATTAACGAACCGCTGTGAATTTTCAACGGAGCCCTAGGGTTTCACAAAACACGTTTTGACTCCGTTATTTCACTGCTATGTATGAGAAATCGCCTTATTTAAACACTTTTGAAGAAATACAATAATTCGTTAAGTATTTCTGGAGAAATATGAAAAAATTTATTAGTATAGAAGTGTTTCCATTATTTTGTCCATCCTCTATGTATATATCGAAAAAATTCTTTCTTTTCTTCTTCACTTTATTAAAAAAATTTATTTCATATTTTTACTAATTAACAGATGGCGCCACTACAAAATAAAGAACTCAAACATTTTCGTGCTAATAATTCTAAATGAGATAATAATGATTTTAAAACGCGAGTTACCCCTTTTACAGTCTCCTATAATTCTATAATTGTATGTGTTTCTCTCAAACATTTTACTTATTTATTTATTTTTTTGCAGAGGTGTTTATTTTATGATGAAGTGAATTGCTGCTTTTATTACCCGAGCGGGCGGTTGTCATGAAAAGAAAGTAGGCCAGAAACAAGATATGAATTTTCATTCAGCACAAATTGAGCTTTTATCGGCACGTTTTCTCAAAAAAAGTGAGCGAGAAAAGACAATAAATGAATGGGAAGAATGAAAAGAAACTAAACGTTTCTTGATTCTACTCTTTGTTTAAAATAGAAGTAGGACAGCCCTTGTTTTACTTTTTAATTAGCTCTGTAATGACCTTACTTTTGGTCAGTTAAAAAGAGTTGAATTGTTATTAGTTTTTTTTTTAATTATAGTGATTTTTGTAGTCTTAAGGCTAAACCAGGGGTGCACAATCTTCTACAGAAGTGCCATCAATTGATAATAATTTAATTATTACTAATGTTAGAGAAAAAAGAAAACTATCAAACTATCTATGCCCATAATATTTTTTGGAATCGAAAGTAGAAATTTAGTACAACTAGACATTTTTGATAGAATTAAACTACAATAGGCGTTTACCGTTTTACACGCAAAATAAATTAATAAATTATTTAATTTATTCTATTTAGTTTTTAACAGTATACAAATTATTTACGTCTTTTATTTTTATATAAATCCTTGAATAGTTTTAAAAATGTTTTGGTTGAAGAAACTTTAAATTTAAAAGATCGAAATGCCGAAAGATTTAAATTTCTTTAAATTAGCATCTCAATATTTTGGTATTTCATTAATTTTTAAAGTTCATTGAAATTAGAAAAAAAAATTTATGCTATTTGTTTTTTTACTTATTAATTTTTTTTGTTGCTAGTTTTTCCAGTTAGTTTTTGATTTGCAGGCCGGGAGCCACACATCAATCATCATGGACCGCAGGTTGGTGACCTTTAACTTAACATTGTACAGTAGAAATTATTAAAAATAACTAAACTTACATAATTTATTTCATGAAAGATGAATAAACTAATTTTTTTTTTGGCGCAATAGTCTTATACAAGGTTATTCACGTTTCAACTTTGTCAAACTTACAAAATATTTGGGAGGAAAAAAAAATTCACATCACCTATTTTATTGATGATATTTTTATATTTTTATTACAGTTATTATCTTTCTTTTCTTCCACCTACGAAGAAATCTGATCCGATTTCTTCAATGAACAATTAAAGTCACCGCGGGAGTCATATCTGTTCAACCATGAGATTTCCGCTTCTCTTACTCTCTCTCTCTTTTTATTTTATTTGTTTTCGAAATATCTATTTCTTCTTCTTACTTCTTTTTGAATATTAGAAGCATTTTTTTAAGATGTTTTGGAAAAAAAAAGATGATTTCAATATCTTTTTAGTCATATATACTGATCTGTATAGCAAAAGTTATTAGGAGAGACATAGCAGTTCGTACAAAGTTTTATTACTATGTCGAAATAACAGGGTTTTTTTTTTGTAACTCTTTCTTTTATATATATAGTACACAATTTATTCTTTTCCTTTCCCTTTCTTTTTTTATACATATTTTGTAATAAAGTATAACATAAATGTTTTGTTTTATTACAAAATTGGTTTTTATTTCCTCATATTTTTTTATATTCCTTCCTCATTTTTTTTTCGAGCACTGTATCGTTA